GCTGAACTGGTGCTGTGGCTCAAATGATATAGTGCTAGTCTTGTGTCCAGGCCCTAAGTTCAAGCTCCAGGACTGGCAAAAAAAAAAAAGAGCAGGTACTCTACCAGGCAACTTGGATGCATGTTGAGTCCCTTTCTTGACTTTGCCTTACCCCTACAACCAGATACATATTCAAGTAGTTTACTGCTAGCCAACAGTAGCATCAAATGTCACTTAAAAAATGTCTAATAGTCACGTTAAAAAGTCAAATATTAACAGATAAAAACATTACTAATAGTTAATCTAATGTACCTAAATTATCACATTATCAATCTTAAAAGCTAACTGAAGCCAGGCATTCGTGGCTAATGTCTGTAATCCTAGCTATTCAGGAGGCAGAGATCTGAAGATCATAGTTCAAAGCCAAAATGGGCAGGAAAGTCTGCCAGAAGTAAAGCTGTGGCTCAAGTGGTAGAGTGCTAGCCTTGAGCACAAAAGCTCAGGGACAGTGCCCAGGCACTAAGCTCAAGCCCCAGGACTAGCAAAAAAGAAAAAAAAAAAGAAAGATTTAACTAAGTTGTTTTACATTACTTCTTGGAGCTCCCAAGTTTTCCAAATCCATCAATGCATCTCATTTAGATTCCCAAAGTTACTAGTCAACCCATGTAGCACCATGGCTCTAAATCCTTCCTTTACTTATAAGCTAGCTAGCTTAGAGTGACTTTGAGATGAAATAAGTCCCTTCCCACCAAATCTTCATCCATCTGCTAAAGAAACAGTCTAGCCCCTTAAACAGAATCTGATAGGTAGAAGGCTGCCTCCTCCAGTATACGTCATCACTCAAGGGATACCTGTTTTGAGGGTGCTGATGTAAATCCCCATTGCTTCTCTGAGAAGTTTCACCCCTTCTTCCTTCATTAAGGCCACGAGATTTGTGTCAGGCTCATCTTTGGCAAGGCTCACACTAATCTGAGTGAGAGATCAGAAGTAGGCGGTAAATAACTCAAGAGACACATCATGGAATGTGGTTCCAAGCAATCAGGTAACGGCTAATGCTTCCAAAAGCAATGTGTGGAGATGGTGTATTCATCCAATCCCATTATTGTTCCTTCTCAAGTCCTCTGCCAAGGCAAAGGTGGCTCATGCTTGAAGCTAAAGCAAAGAAATTCAGTGGTACCCTATAGCTAGAAACTCATCTGTAGACTGGTGTCTGAATGCCTGAACCAGGTCTGAGCTATTCATTTTGGAAAATGTCATTTTCCTCATCTGAGACAAAAAGCATAGGGAGGGCTCAGATGAAGAGTTAAGACTCACAAACCTCCACTTCATCCACGCTGTTTTCATCAGACAAGTTAGGGATCTCCACATGTCCCTTGTATTGTACTCCTGACTTAGAGGTACCTGTCAAAAGCAATGAAATGCTGTTAGCTTCCTCTTTTGCAGGAAAAGATCTATGCCAGAAGGACCTACCAGAGCACTACACCACTTAGGCTTTTTTTTTGGCCCTCCTTATTCTGAACCGACATCTAGTCTGACAGAATGCTACAAGGCAGATGTAATCCAGTGCCCCCATCCTCTCTCTCCTCACTCTTTGCTGAAGAACAACTAACAGTCCTGGCAGTGGAACTGACAGCCATATCAACTGGGCACTAGTATGAATTCTACTTGAGTCAACAGCCAACACAGTCACAATACTTGCTCTGAAAATATGTACATATCCCCATGTGACTGGTATATTAGAGGACAATTCAATCAAGAGAATTTCACCCATGAGAAACATTAGTTGAACACAGAAAACTACACCTGGCTTAACCTAGCATAGGAATGAGCAAAACATCCCTCAAAGCATCTGCTAATCACCTTAGTTAAGCACATGTTATATGCCACAACCACACACCATTGGGGATGGGCTGTTTCTTCTGATTCAGATGTCTCTCCTTATACAATTAAGCTGCAAACCTGTTGTCTCTGATCACAAAAAAATTTCAGACCTCTTATCAAGGCAAGACACCATTATCTAATAGTGTTTGTGTGTTTCTAGCCATTTAACATGAAATGTGTTTCTGATGGGGTAAATTTTTGTGGTGTTGTATCCCCAATGCCATTTTCCCTACAAACTGTTTTCACTGAATTTTTTTTGCATAGTTTGGCAATTTTTATAACATATTTGTTGAACTATATATGAACTCCCAAATGAAATCAACATTTGCCTTCACCTCTCTAGACTTCATTTTCTAAGAATGGGCAAGCTATAAAGATATAAAATTCCTTCCAGGCTACAATGCTTTAGATATACTTGAAAAATCATGAAGAGATGTATCTCTACGTTCACCTCAGTATCACTTTCTTATTGATATTACATAGTACTAAATGCTTACTAAAGCACAAATTTATTCATGTTTTACCCCAGACACAGATGGTAGCTATTTTATACTCCCAGAGCTTTTTTTTTTTTTTTTAAACTTCAGCCCTTAAACTGTCAGGACCACCAAGTGAGGGGGATATGTATGGTCCCAATTGTTTCCTAATGTGGTCACAGATGGGTCATTACATCAAAGAATATATAGGGCAGTCCCAATTTATAGCCACACCAGATTCACTAGCACAGTGGTCTGATCTGTTAAGATTCACATCGAACAGTTAGAAAACGGTCAAAATTGTAAACTGCGGAAATATCATCTTATATACCCTGTCAGACAAGGGCCAAAAGATACAGTGCCCAGTCAGTTCGTTGGTGGTGACTTATGAGTGCCCCATGGTGACAGGGAAATTTTAGCATCTCATGCTGCTTTCTTCCCATTCTCCTTTCAACAGTTCATTACTACTCAAAAACTTCTTTTCTCCAGCTCCTTAACAGGTCAGCAGAAATGCAGTTAGCCTCTTCCTTCTGACAGACCAGCAAATACATACCTGTCCAATTCAGTTTGACATTCCATTCATAAAAGAAGATAAGTTTTCCTTTTCGATTATTAATAGATGCTTCTCCATCAAGTTTATTCACTTCGGTCACCTCACACTTGCCCTCCTCATTCTGTACCCGAACAGCCAGAAACAGGGTCTTCAGCTTTTCTGTGGACCAGTTTGAAGCATCCCTCTCTGTCCTGAAAAAACAGAAGTAAACCTATGGATCAGCAGTCAAACAAAGGATATACACGGCTGCCTCTAAGAAGGCAGTTAAAGGAGGCTGGACAGACAGGTGAAAAAGAACACAAAACTCGTAGTTCCACTCTAGGATGTCCACAAACACATCACTGTTAGGAAGGAGAGACACTGCATTAGTGCCAACAAAGGCAAATGCTGTAATAGTACAACTAAACGAGAAAAGTTATGCGGTACATTATGACATTTTATGTTTTAAAAGGGCACCCCCATTTGGCCAAGAGTGCAACTGCACACACTGCGGAGAGGAGCACAGATGAGCACAGAGTACAGCATTTGGCTGAAAGGACCAGGCAGGTCCTCATTCATTAGCAAAACTGCTCTCAGCCTGTTAAGATTCAGACAGCTTTAAAGGACCCAACACATTCTATGTCCTCTGGTTGACCAAAAAATCAAGTCTAGACTTCAAAACTAACCACAACAAAAATACTGCCAAGCACAGTGAAGAGGAGGGGGAAAAAGATTACTCTGCCTTTCCAATTAACTATTAAATAACAGTCAACAAGAACAAAAAGAGCTGCAACCAAATTGCATTACGAACGAAAGTTCAGTAGAGTTTAAAGTAAACGCTGTTTATGGAAGATTTCACGGAGGAGGGAGAGCTTTTAAGGGCAGTATAACTATAAAATACAAAACCACGATCGCCCGGCTACCTGGAGTCCAAACACAAACCAACTTCATAGTTCCGGATGTGAGGCTGCAGGGTCTTCAGCAGCCTGGCGCTTGGCCGAACGTAGTCCAAACCTTCTCCTGGGGCACCTGTGCCTTACAGTTGACTTTTCACTTTGACTGTGAGCCACAAAGCAGAGATTATGGCTCCTGGGGCCGGAGATTTCCCCAGCAGGCTCCCGACACAATCGAAAGGCCTTTGGGTCTCGCTGACTGCGGCCACGTGTAGGAAGCATCTTCCTGCTCCAGGCTGGATGCAGCAATTGGGGACGTTCTGTTCTCTGTCTGAAACTGCTCTTTGGGACGAAGCTTCGCCCGCGGACCCCTCTGGTCCCTGACACTGAGACTAGGCTAGGGGTGCTGAAGAGGACCCCTTCCCCTGCCACACGAGGAACCCACCCGTCCCCTGATCTCAGGCCAGGCCTGCCTGGGCCCCAGCTCTGTCCGCGCCAAGGTCCCAGGAACCCCCAACCCCAAGCCTGGTGCCGGTGCTCCTGCGGCCTTGCCTTGCTGGCCCTCACCAGTGCCAGTTGTTGACGTTAGTGGCGTCCGCCCGCTCCTCCACGATCCAGCGTGGGTCGCCCTCACCCCACTTGGCCATCGGCCCTCCTAGCGCGCCGCCACCAGCTCCCAAGCAGCCGCAGTCACAGCCTCAGGACCGCTCGGTCCCAGCCGCCCGGCAGCGCCTGGAAACTACTAGAAGCGGCCGCAGCACCTCCTGGCTTGCTTTTCCCTCCACCCCCACCCCTCCCCGCCTCAACTTCCGGCTCCTCCCCACTCCTACCGGCTACTTCCGTTCCAGCTTGCCTAACTGTAGGTTCCGCCTGTTCTGAAGTCCTCACAAACGCCCTCAGATTATCGCCAAAGGGGCCCCAAACCCAGCCCTTCACACTACCATTCCTCACCTGTAGGGACACAAAGGACGTGGTCCCTTTGTTTCCTTGGTCTCTAAATCGGTCTTGCTGAGCCTTCTGGGAGTTGTAGTCCTGTTAAAGGACCCTCTGTCTAACCGCGGAAGGTCGCGTTGAAAGTAAAGGAAATGATCTAGCACGGGCGCTAGGGTTTCTGGGGGATGTAGTCAAGAAGTCTCGCGGGTCTATCGCGACAGTTCCCGACGGCCGAGGGAAAAGAACTACAAGTCCCACGATGCTCTGCGGGCGCTCTCTTTACTCTGACTCCCTCCTCCGCCCCCGTGAGTGTCCTCTTCCTCTTCTTCCTTATGCAGCATAGACTGATTAGAAAGGCTGGTCGGGCGGCGGAGACTGGCGCTGTCCTGAGAGGGAGGGCTCGGTGTGGAAGAGGTGAGGGTGTCCCGGGCCCTTGGGCCGCGAGTCTGTCTGAGTCATCCCTCTCCTCATCCCAATCCTCTTCCTCCTCTTCTCTGGGACATCCCTGCGTCTCTGTTCCGGCCTGACTCTATTCGGGGCCAGTCTTGCGAGCCAGGCTACGCCCCAAGATTTACTTCAGAACTTGACATTTGGTTCTGAACCAACAAAACCCAGGGATCCGCCGGGCTCTGGTGAGTGCGGTAGATCCGTGGCTTCCTGAACGTTCGCCCGCGGTTACCCGGTTTTAATCCACATTCTCTGGCTTCAGTTCACAAACCTTGTTTTGAAACTGAGTCTGTTTTCAATATCTGGTTTCTAGAGGATCCTGAAGGAGAGAGGTGTGTGTGTGTGTGTGTGTGTGTGTGTGTGTGTGTGTGTGTGTGTGTGTGTGTGTGTGTGTGTGTGTGTCTGTGTGTGTGTCTGTGTGTCTGTGTCTGTGTGTCTGTGTCTGTGTGTGTCTGTGTCTGTGTGGGAGGGTGTGTGTGTGTGTGTGTGTGTGTTTTGTTGTGTTTTCCTGATCCTCCTCGTCCTGTGTCTTGTTCCTCTTCTTGAATCTGTCACCCTTTCCTGGGGCTCTCAGAATACAGGTCAGGCCTCTGAAGTATTTAACATCATGTCGAAGCACATTTCTTAGGCACTATTAAAATTGTACTTAAGGTTTTGTAACGTTTGGAGCTATTAAAACATTATCACTTTATTGGCCAAGTAAATCTAGCTTCTCACGTGACACTCTTAAGTACAAATTGGTGTTAAACTGCCATTGTGTGGTTGAAGAAAAGATTCCAGAAATTCTCCAGTGCAATATTGCATTTATCTGTGTATATTTATCATAGGTCTGCCCTAGTTCTTCCAGGAATGAAAAGTAGATAAGACTATGCAAGACAGTGAAAATAGTCTAGGAAGCAGAAAACCTTAATTATAATTTGGAATAGATGTGGTAAACAAAGCTGCTTTGATATTTAATCCTTTTCATACCTCCTTTAAACATGGAAAAGATAACAATTCTACCCCACAGGATTATTCCGAGAATTAAATGCACGACAAAGTGCTTTTTGAAATAATGAAGTTGTACTTGTTCCAGAGACATTTATATTTATTTATTTATTTGTCAGTCGTGGGGCTTGAACTCTGGGCCTGGGTGCTGTCTCTGTGGCGAGTGCTCTACCACTTGAGCCACAGCGCCACTTTCAGTTTTCTAGTGGTTTATTGGAGATAAGAGTCTCATGGATGTTCCTGCCCGGACAGGCTTTGAACCATGATCTTCAGATCTCAGCCTCCTGAGTGGCTAGGATTACAGGTGTGAGCCACCGGTGCCTGGCTCCATATGTTGCAGATTTATTATTATTATTATTTTCATTTTATTTTATTTTTTTTGTGAACATACTGTACAGAGGGGAGATTTATTTTTTTTTTTTGGCCAGTCCTGGAGCTTGAACTCAGGGCCTGGGCACTGTCCTTGATCTTCTTTTGCTCAAGGCTAGCACTCTACCACTTGAGCCATAGTGCCGCTTCCAGCTTTTTCTGTTTATGTGGTACTGAGGAACTGAACCCAGGGCTTCAGGCATGCTAGGCAAGTACTCTACCACTAGACAAGCACTCTATCTCTAAGCCACATTCCCAGCCTTCTTGCAGAATTTAAAAAAAAAAATTAGGAAGCTTTTTCCAACACACCATGATTAGTTAGTAAAAGTTAATTATAGGCATTCACTTTCTGTCAGGCACTAAGCACTGTACAGTTTATCCTTATAAAAATCTTTGGCTTAGTCTGAAAGAAACTTCTCTTTAATGTCCCTATTACAGAGATGATGGTGAAAAGATGTTGCTAAGTAAACCAATACTAAAAGGAGTTAGTATGTAGTATTTGCTTTCTGTTGGGCACTTTAGGTTTTCTGAGTATTTGTTCTTCACTGTAATCCTATATATCCTATAATCTAGGATACCACTTTCTCTGCAAGGTTTAAAAGACACCTATTTTGTTTGGAATTAGAAAAGCCAAGATTTGAAGTCAAGGCTGCTTAGCTACAATGACTGTACTTGTACCACCACATGCAATGATATTTTAAAATGTCTATTAAGCTTTTCTATATCTATTTTAATGTCTATTAAGCTTTTCTGAATCCTGAAATTAAAAGTAGAATGGAATCTTTTCAGTCATTGCTGGGTTCAGTAGGAATTAGTGATGGCTGCTTGGGAAGAGACCAACTAGCAGAAAGTTCCCCCCATATATCATTGCCTTCCATTATCCTTCAGCTGAAAATGGGAAGGCAGAATTGTTAAGTGCCTTCAAAAGCCTCAATAGAGCTCCCATGATGAGTATTTCTAAAGTTTTTATTTAGAAAGGTGCTGTTGGAATATAAGGAAAAGCCAACTAATTATTTAGAATTTGACATTGTACCCTTTGAGGTTACTTTTGGTGCTATGAAAAATTGAGTATTTATTCTTGGCCTAGCAGGAGTGAGGAACTTTTTGTGTACCATGAGCCACTTAGAAATTGTAACATTATTTGTGGGTCATACAAAATTATTAATATAGGGGCTGGGAATGTGGCTTAGTGGTAGAGTGCTTTCCTACCATGCATGAAGCCCTGGGTTCCATTCCTCAGTACCTTATACACAGAAAAAGCTGGAAGTGGTCCTGTGGCTCAAGTAGTAGAGGGCTAACCTTGAGCAAAAGAAGCTCAGGGACAGTGCCTAAGCCCTGAGTTCAAGCCATGGGACTGGCAAAAACAAACAAACAAAAAACCAGAATAGGCAGACAGGCTTAGCTAAGAAGCATCAAAAAGGGTATGTGTCTGTCTTGTCATGTGCCAAATGATTTTGTGGACATGTATAGTGTTCTCTACCCCTGGAACCATAGTTTTCACTCAAATCCCAGTTGACATTGATAATTTAGTTTGTAATGCTAAAAGAAAAAAAATTTTTGCAAGGTGAAATCAAATTTTAGAGAAAGTTATAGAAGAGACTAGTGATCTTTTGACTATGCATTTTCTTCCCATGATCTTGCTCTCAATTTTTTTTTCTTTGCAGTGGGGTCCAATACCAGATTTGAACTCAGGACCTCACACTTTCTCAGTGGGCACTATCATTTGAGCCACACATCCAGCCCAACATTTTGGTGATTATTTTAGAGATGGAGTTTTGAAAGCTTTTTTTGCCCAGATTGGCTTTGAGTTGCCATCCTCCAGGTCTAAGCCTCTTGACTGGCTAGGATTATGGATTTTTGCCACCAGTGCCTGGTTCTTTTCCCAAATTTTGACCAAGTTGTTGATAAAATAATTACAACTTGAAAATACAGGCAAGATAATTCCGTTTCATTAAATTGCTTTTCTTTCATTCTTTTAGGCATTTTAAAAGCACATCAGGTACCAGTGGCTCATGCTTGTAATCCTAGCTACTAAGGAGGCTGAGATCTGAGAATCGCAGTTGGAAACCATCCCAGGCAGACAAATCTAAAAAAGTAGTATCTTTAATTAACTAACCCCACCCCTCAAATAAAGGCCAGAAATGGAAATGTTGCTCAAGTGGCAGAGCCTTGAATGATGCTCAGGACCTGGGTTTAAGCCCCAGTAGTGGCATACAAAAAAACCAAAAAGCAAATATGAGAATGAGATCCTTATCAGTTTTATTCATTATAGTATTCCCAGAGTCTAGAACTGTTCCTTAGAGATGCTGAATACATGAATGTAATTACTCAGTATTTTTTGTGTGTGCTCTGACCAATCCTTGTGGTTTTATCCAACTTTGTATTTACAAAGTCTTCTAGTGTTTTCCAACATATACTGATAACGTTACACATCCATGTTCTGAATACTCTGGCTCTGTTCTAGGTCCTTCAGGAGAAGGACTGTATCATGTATTTTGTTGTTGTTTTAATTTTTGTTGGTCCTCCTGAGGCTTGAATTCTGGGCCTGGTGCTGTCCCTGATTTTTTTATGCTCCAGGCTAGTGTTCTACTTAAGGCACAGCTCCACTTCTGGCTTTTTGTGGTTAATTGGAGATAAGAGTCTCATGGATTTTCCTGCCAGGCTGGCTTCAAGCAGTGACCCTCACATCTCAACCTCCTGAGTAGCTAGGATTATAATTGTGAGTACTGGTGCCTGGTACATTTTTGATATCCCTTAAACACCTCAAAGAGAATCTTGAACAAAATAGAAGTTCTAGTAATTAATGCCTATTTCTGTGTAACTAGAGGGTCAAATATATGATTTCACCGGTTGAAAACCTATGGATCTTCTTTTATATGGCATGTTCAGTATTTGCCTTATCAGATTCTTTTCTATATACCTAATTTCTGGGATCAGTTAGTGGTAAAGAATCTAAAGATTTTGGAGCTCTTTAGGGAGAGACTTAGAAAGGGATATGTATCTATCTCTCTCACCACAGATGAATCGGACAAAAGGTGATGAGGAGGAATACTGGAACAGCTCTAAGTTCAAGGCTTTCACTTTCGATGATGAAGATGATGAACTGTCACAGGTAGGCTTCTATATACAACTGCTGAAGGTCTTATCCTCTAGGAAACCACTCTAAAATTACTTCCTTTTATACTCTCAGGTATCCTGGCTTTATTTTTTTAATTGTGAAAATACTGTACAGAGGGGTTACAATTACATGGGCAAGATAATGAGTACATTTCTTATCAAGCATTTAGCCTCCTCCTTTGTTTCCCCTTCCCATCCCTTCCCATCTCCCCTCCCTCCCTGTCCCCTTATCCTGGCTTTTGAACATGTCTTTTTTAAGCTAAGAAATGTGTGAGTCAGGTCTTCACAAAAACCTTTGTCCGTCCGTCCTTCCTTCCTTCCTTCCTTCCTTTCTCTTTCTTTCTTTCTTTCTTCCTTCCTTTCTTTTGTTAGTCCCTGGGGCTTGAACTCTGAGCCTGGTCACTGTCCCTGAGCTCTTCAGCTCACGGCAAGTGCTCTACCACTTGAGCCACAGTGCTACTTCCAGTTTTCTGGTGGTTTATTGGAGATAAGAGTTTCATGGACTTTTCCTGCCCTGGCTGGCTTTGAACCGTGATCCTCAGATCTCAGCCTCCTGAGTAGCTAGTATTACAGGTGTGAACCACCGGCACCCGGCTGTTGTCTTTATTCTTGAGATGAGGTCTTCTTATGTTGTCCAAACTGGTCTTAAATTCATGGGTCTAAGAAATCCTTCTGCCTGGGTCTCCTTGAGCAAATGCCACTATACCCAGCTAATTTGTTTTTGGAAGATGACTTAGACTGGAAGATTTATTTTTTATTTTTTTATTTTTTATTTTTGCCAGTCCTGTGGCTTGAACTCAGGGCTTGGGCACTGTCCCTGAGTTTCTTTTTGCTCAAGGCTAACACTCTACCATTTGAGCCACAGTGCACTTCCTGCTTTTTCTGTTTATATGGCACCAAGGAATTGGACCCAGGGCTTAATGCATGCTATACAAGCACACTACCATTAAGCCTCATTCCCAGCCCAAAGAGTTTTTTTTTTTTTTGTCGGTCGTGGGGCTTGAACTCTGGGCCTGGGCGCTGTCCCTCAGCTCTTCAGCTCAAGGCGAGCACTCTACCACTTGAGCTACAGCGCCACTTCCAGTTTTCTGGTGGTTTATTGGAGATAGGAGTCTCACGGTCTCTCCTGCCCGGGCTGGCTTTGAACCGCGATCCTCAGATCTCAGCCTCCTGAGTAGCTAGGATTACAGGCGTGAGCCACCAGCGCCCAGCTCCAAAGAGTTATTTTTATTCATGTTTATTTTACAAAAGAGGAAATGGTCACTTTTGGATAGTGAATAAATTTATTAAAATATTTGCACAGCACGTCTTTGTCAGGAATATGATTAGAGCTCAAAAGTGGTTTGGATTCATCTTAACTCTTTTGCCTATGCAGTGATTGGCTAGAATGCAGTTTCTTTGCAAAAAGCTAGGCTTTTGATAAGAGTAAAGTTATTGATTATTTTCAAGTTCCAGTTGCTCAGCATTCGTTTTCAAAGAAAGAGGTAGAAAGGAATGATTGTCTCTGTCTGTCTGTCTGCAGTTAAAGGAATCCAAGCGAGCAGTGAATAGCCTTCGAGACATTGTGGATGATGATGATGACGATGACCTGGAACGAGTCAGCTGGAGTGGGGAGCCTGTGGGAAGTAAGTAGAGAGGTGGTAGAGGTTATTTATAGTCAAGGTTCTCATCACAAATGCACTGGTCCACAAATGCACAAAGTCCACTGGTTTCCTCAGAGGAAAAAGAAAAAGAGATTAGACTCTTATCAGATAAGCACACATCTGAAAGGTGAACCTCAAGAGATATTTGGTTTGAAATTATGTAATCATTTAATCACAATCAAAAAAAAAAAAAAAAAAAGAACCTCGGGGAAGGGAGGGAGGGAGGGGATGGTAGGGGGAAAACAATGGAGGGGGTAACAATGTTCAAGAGGAAGTGTACTCATAACCTCACTCATGTAACTGTAACCCTCTGTATAGTAGCTTTACAATAAAAAAAAAAAAAAAAGATACAGATAAAAAAAAAAAAAAAAAAGAGATATTTGGGTGCTGGAGTTGACTCTAATATATAGTCATATTTGAGAACTCTGAGGTATTCGTAAGTACTTGGCAAAACTTCTTAGCCACCAAGTCTTACTGCCTAAGCCATTATATAACAACACTTCATACCTTTACAGTTTGATTTTACACACATTCAGACATGCATGCACACATTTAAAATTTTTTGGTGGTGCTTGGGTTTGAATTCAGGGTTCTACACTTGAGCTATCCTCTTTGGTTCTTTTTTGCATTAGTTAGTTTTTGGATAAAGTCTCATGATTTTGGTTGTGATTCTCTTATCTCCTACCTATGGACTACTGTATAATTAGGATCACAGATGTGTACTAACACCCTTGTCTGTCTTTTGCCTTCTGATCTCTGCTTCCTAAGTAAGATGAGATTACAGGCATGAGCCATCATACCAGGAAAAATATGTTTGTTTATTTGTTTGGTTAGAGCTGGTACTAGGACTTGAACTGAGGGCCTAGAAGCTGTCCCTTAGCTTTTTTGCTCAAGACTGGTGCCATCCCACTTGAGCCACAGCTCTACTTCCAATATTTTGGTGGTTCATTGGAGATAAGAGTCTCATGGACTTTCCTTCCCTAGTTTCTTGACTAGCTAAGGTTATAGACATGAGCCACTGATGCCCACCTAAGAAATGTTTTAAGTTAAAATGAATAAATAGGAGATACTATATAACATGATTAAAAATCAAAAGTATTAAAGGTGTACATTGACAAATTTTCCTTGATACTATTACAATCATCTCAGTTCTCAGTGCCTGCCCTCTCCTGCCCTTCCCCTGCAAAAGCCTTCACTGCTGCTCCCTTATTATATAACTGTCTGGTTGGTTTACATTTAGAGATGCTCATAGGCATACCTATTTTTATCCCAGTGTTTGTACAAGCAGTAACATACTGTGTACTTAGCTATTTTTATGTGATAATGGGGCTTGGAGAGCTTTCCATATCATATAAAAAGCTTGTTTTCTCTTTATTTGGTCCATCATGGAGCTTGAACTCTGGGCCTGGCACTCTCCCTGAGCTCTTCAGCCCAAGGCAAGTGCTCTGCTACCACTTGAGCCACAAGCCACTTCCGGTTTTCTAGTGGTTTATTGGAGATAAGAGTCTCACAGCCTTTACTGCCCGGGCTGGCTTTGAACTGTGATCCTTAGATTTCAGCTATGATTACCAACCACTGTGAGCCACCAGTGCACAGCTATAAAGCTTTCTTATTCTTGTTTTGTTTTTTTAAGCAGTAGCATGGTATTTCATTGTATGGATTACCATAATTTATTTAACTAGTCTACTATGGTGAATTTTAGATTGTGTCTAACCTTTTGCTATTTCTGTTCTTATCAGTAATCTCGTATTCTGACACACGAATAAGTGAAAGATCATTTCTTGGGGTTGAATGACTGGCATTGGCTATTTGTCATATTGGATAGTTACTGCCAAATTATTGCCAACCATAGGGCTTATGCCAGTTTGTACTCCCCATCAGCAATGTAGAAGGGTTCCTGTTTCCCACAGCCTTTCTACTACTGGGTATGATCAAGTTTTGAGATCTTTGCTCATTTTAATGGGGATCAACAGTACTGTCAACATATGAAACTATTGTTAAGAACATCTAGTCAGGTGCTGGTGGCTCACGCCTATAATCCTAACTACTCAGGAGGCTGAAATCTAAGGATCACAGTTGAAAGCCTGCTAACGGAGGAAATGTCCATAAGACTCTAACCTCCAACTAACCACCAAAAAGATGGACAGTGGAGTTCTAGGCTTGAGCAAGTCTTGTACTCAAGGACAATTCCTAGGCCCTGAATTCAAGCCCCAGGACTGGCACAAAAATAAATAAATCAATGAACAATCATCTTTTTATATTTAAAACTATATTTCCTTTTTATGATGCATTTGTTCATGCCCTTTGTCCATTTGTCTGTTGATTAATCTATTTGACTCTGACCTTTTCCCTTGCTCCATGATAATCAAGGGACCAGGGCCTCTGTTGAAAAGCTTTGAGTTCATTGAATATTGGATGTCAAAGATGTCTATTGGATGAAACTTACTGATTTAGTTCTTAATGGTCTTGCAGGTATTTCGTGGTCCATCAAAGAGACTGCTGGTAATAGTGGGTCAACACATGATGGACGTGAACAGATAAAGGGCAGAAACAGCTTCTCTTCCTATGCACAACTACCCAAACCGACTTCCACTTACTCCCTGAGTAGCTTCTTTAGAGGTAAAGAATGATGGTTAAGGAACAGCAAAGTCTTTCTTTTGTTCTGAAAAATGCTCAGGCTGTACTTTTCATGTACTTAGGAGAAAAATGATTATTGAAAGACAGTAAACTATCATTGGAGCTGGTGGCTAAGTATTAGAAAGGGGAAAAGTGAGAGAAATTCACAAGCTTTAGAATGGATTTCTAGGACATGATGAATAAAGTTGGCATTATCCCTGTGATAGATACTGAACAAGTTTGCCTAGATCAAAATTCCTCCTTACCTCTTAGGCAGTGTGTCTAAGAACTCCTGTGTATTGCTGGTGGGAATGCAAAATGGTGTGGTCGCTAAGGCAATTTTCTCAAATATTAAATATAAACCTACCATAAGACCCAGCAGTTTCATTTTTACATAACAGAAAGAACCGGGAGCAAGGACTTCAACAGATATTTGTATACTGTTTATAGTAGCATTGTTCACAATAGCCAAAGATGGGAGTGGCCCATTTTGTCCACTCAGGGATAAAATTTGGGAATATATTTGCAGTAGAATATTAGTTAGTTATGAAAAGGTATAAAACTCTGATACGTGCTTTGATATGGAACCTTGAAGACATACTAAATCAAGTAAGGACACCGAGGACAAATGTTTTGTGACAAATGTTTATATGAGATAACTAGTATAGGCAGAGTCGGTGAGGACGCTGTGTCCTTAACCCAGTCTGATGGCTTTGCCTTGAGCTCTCTTGACTCTTCTCACATTACTTATCCCTAGGTAGAACTAGACCTGGAAGTTTCCAGTCTCTTTCTGATGGTAAGTATTGTTTCCTTTCTCTTGATTGTTGTGGGGGATGTGGTGCAGTCTGGGGAGTCTGGAGACATGTTATTAGATGATTAAATGAATTTTCTTCTAAATAACATTATTAGAGGAAAAAAATTTTTTTTTTGCAGTACTGGGGATTGAACTCAGGGTCTTGAGCTTGCTAGAGGCTCAGGCTCTCTTCTACTTAAGCCATGATTCTAGCCCATTTTTGCATAGTATTTTCAAGATAGAGTCTTACTTTATGGCTGGGCTAGCCTGGGCTGTGAATCCTACTATTGGTGCTTTCCTGCATATGCTGCAGTGTCCAGACATTATGCTTCCCCCATAGCTGAGATACAGGCATACTCCATATGCCCTGCCATTGGTTATGATGTGACCTTGCAGACTTTTGTGCACTGGCTGGCCTGAACTACTGTGCCCATCTCTAAAGAAATTTTTTGATGGTGAAGTAGAAATCACAGCAGGCACCTATGGCTCACGCCTATAATCCTAGCTATTCAGGAGGCTGAGATCTGAGGATTATGGTTCAAAGCCAGCCTGGGCAGGAAAGTTTATGAGACTCTTATCTCCAATAAAACTACTTAGAAAAAGCTAGAAGCTGTGCTGTATCTCAAGTGGTAGAGTACTAGCTTTGAGCAAAAGAAGCTCAGAAACCGCTCAAGCCCTGAGTTCAAGCTCTAGGATTAACAATAACAACAAAAGTAGAAGTCAGGTTACAGGAGCAAGAATTGACTTAGGGAAGAACTGTGATCTGCTTCTGTCCAGAAATATACCTTGGGAGGGTAAAAAAAAAAAGGCTGAAAAAAGACATGTGTATTGAGTTCTGATGACTCATGCCTGTCATCTTAGCTACTTGGGAGGCTGAGATTTTTGAGGATTGTGGTTCAAAGCCAGTCCAGCAGGAACATCTGTAAGACTTTTATCTTCAATTAACCACCAAAAAGTCCTAAATGGAACTATGGCTCAAGTGTTAGAGTGCTAACCTTGAGCAAAAACGCTCAGGGACAGCACCCAGGCCCTGAGTTCAAGCCCTGGGACCAGCAAAAGCAACAACAACAACAAGAAGTGAGAAGGAGACAATAGAGGAAAATTACAAGAAACAGTACTTATGATGTCTTTCTGAACCAGTTGCCTCATTTTTTTTTTCAGCTTTGTCAGATACACCTGCCAAAAGTTATGCTCCAGAGCTGGGGAGGCCCAAGGGGGAATATAGGGTGAGTTATATCTTAATACTGGGATAATGCTTTACACAGTAGAGAGAACTTTGGCATATATTGCCTTAATTTCTGCAACTCTTCTAGCAGTCTTAGAGTCACGGATCATTAACTCCAGGGACATATGAGAAATGCATTGCTTAAGTGATTTTATCATTGCACAACCATCATGGGTATACTTAACTAGATAGTCAAGCCTTTTACACATCTAGGCCATATGATATAGCTTTATTGTCTCAGGGCTATAAATCTGTACAGCATGTTACTGTACCCAATACTATAGGTAATTATAGCACAATGTCAGTAATTGTATAGTTAAATATAGAAAAGGCACTGTAAAAGTATTAGGCAGGCCTGAAATGATGCTGCATGCCTGCAATCTAAGTAATAGGGAGGCAGAGGAAGGAAGATCATGTATTCCAGGCTCTCCAAATTAGATAGGAAGATCCTGTTTTAAAAAAAACAAAAAAAAAAGTACAGCAACAACAACCTAGCAAATAGGAATTCCATTATAATCTTACAGGACCACCATTGTGTATGTGTTGCATTGTTGATTAAAATATTATTATGCAAGACATGACTGTATTTTAACCCCCTTTTATGGATATGAAAACTAAGCTTCTCAACCACAGACTTGCCTGGGGTCTCATAGCCAAGAAAGGGTATAACTTGTACTCACAATCTTTAAAGTCATAGCGATTTTATTATTTTATTGTTTTAAGTAATTTTATCACTGTACGACCATCATAGGCGATAGTTAAATAAACTAGATGGTCAAGCCTGTTACACATCTAGGCCACATGATATAGCTTTATTGTTGTAATATCCTTGCTCACTCAGTCCTAGCATCCTTTTTTTTTTTTTTTTAAATCCATTCTGCTACGTTTTGAAGGCTATACTTTGAAACTCAGCAATAATCACCACAGTGTGGAAATTTGGTGGAGCTCATACTTCCATGAAGCATATAAAATAAGCAAATTGGGCTGGGAATGTGGCTTTAGTGGTAGAATGCTTGCCTTGTATTCATGAAGCCCTGGGTTGAATTCCTTAGTAACACATAAACAGAAAAAGGCAAAGGTGCACTGTGGCCCAATTGGTAGAGAGCTAGCCTTGAGTAAAAGAAGCTGAGACAGTGCCCAGGCCCTGAGTACAAGCCCCAGGCTTAGCAAAAAATAAAAAATAAAAATAAATAAAATAAAAAATAAAGCAAATTGATTTATAAGGAAGACATATATTCTAAGATGCAAAAAAGAATCTCTCTCAAATGTCTTTCCCTCTCTTGACCAAAAGTGTTAAGTATTAGAATCTTGAAACTTGACGGTAATTGCATGAAGGGGTTTCAATTCTGAGCCTCTGGACATGAAAAGTTCTGCTCTGTCAGTTGGTTTATCTCAGTATGAGCAGTTTCTTCCTGCTTGTGTCACCCTGATATAGCTCATTCAGAAACTAAAAACAAAACCATTCCAGTTCTTCATTTATTCTCAGTTCCCTCTCATAAACTATTTCTGAAATTGTGCTGGTGCACATAATTCTGAGCTTTATGTGTTGCTGATATTACAGGATTACAGCAATGACTGGAGCCCCAGTGATACAGTCCGACGCCTTAGGAAAGGCAAGGTAAGGTCATTGGAGAGCAGATTTTTGTGGATTCTTTGCTCAGCTGTATCAGTTGTTCCCACTTGGAGGATTTCTTGCCCATTTGCTAATTAAATAGAAAAATTTGCTAAGGTTGAAAATTAGGGCTGGGAATGTGGCTTAGTGGTAGAATGCTTGCCTAGCATCCATGAAGTTCTGGGTTCCATTCCTCAGTACCACATAAACAGAAAAAGCCAGGGGCTGGGAAGGTGGTTCAGTGGTAGAGCGCTTGCCTTGCATGCATGAGGCCCTGGGTTCGATTCCCCAGCACCATATAAGCAAAAAGAAAAAGAGCCGGAAGTGGCGCTGTGGCTCAAGTGGTAGAGTGCTAGCCTTGAGCTGAAGAGCTGAGGGACAGCACCCAGGCCAGAGTTCAGGCCCCACGACCGGACCCAAAAAAAAAAAAAAGAGTTGAGAGTCATCTTTTTTGTTTAGGTCTATGATCCATTGTGAGTTAATTTTTATATTTGATGTGAGATAAATATCGACGTTTATTTGTTTTTTTTTTTTTTTGGTCCAGTCGTGGGGCCTGAACTCTGGGCCTGGGCGCTGTCCCTCAGCTCTTCAGCTCAAGGCTAGCATTCTACCACTTGAGACACAGCGCCACTTACGGCTTTTTTCATTTTGCTTATGTGGTGCTGAGGAATCGAACCCAGGGCCTCAGGCATGCAAGGCAAGCACTTTAGCACTGAGCCATCTTCCCAGCCCTGTTAATTTTTTTTTTTTTGGGTCTGGTCATGGGGCTTGAACTCTGGGCCTGGGCGCTGTCCCTCAGTTCTTCAGCTCAAGGCTAGCGCTCTACCACTTGGGCCACAGTGCCACTTCCAGCTTTTTTCTTTTTGCTTATGTGGTGCTGAGGAATTGAACCCAGGGCCTCATGCATGCAAGGCAAGCGCTCTACCACTGAGCCACCTTCCCAGCCCCATTTTTTTTTTTAAACCATGTAGAACCCCACTTTTTTCCAGCACTGTTTGTCAAAAGATTGTCTTTGCCTGGCACCGGTGGCTCATGCCTATGATCCTAGCTACTCAGGAGGCTGAGATCTGAGGATCATAGTTTAAAGAGCCAGCCTGGGCAGGAAAGTACATGAGATTCTTATCTCTAATAAACCACCAGAAAGCTGGAAGTAGCACTGTGGCTCAATTGGTAGAGTGCTAGCCTTGAGCTGAAGAGCTCAGGGACAGCACCCAAGTCTAGAGTTCAAGCCCCACCACTGACCAAAAAAAAAAAAAAGATTGTCTTTATTGAACTACTTTGTAGGGTTTTTTTTGTTTGTTTTTGTGCCAGTCCTGATGCTGGAACTAAGGGGTCTGGGCACTGTCCCTGAGCTGCTTTTGCTCAAGGCTAGTGCTCTATCACTTGAGACACAGCTCCACTTCTGACTTTTTTTGCTGATTAATTTGGAGATAAGAGTATCATAGACTTACCTGCCTGGGCTGGCTTTGAACCATGATTCTCAGATCTCAGCCTCCTGAGTAGCTGAGATTACAGGTGTGAGCCACCAGCACCTAGGTTTTTTTTGCTAATCAGTTGACTGTATGTAAGTCTATTTCTAGAAGACTTAATTCTTTTTTCAAACTATCTTTAGTTGTGCAAAGTATAGATGACTTTTTAACTCATTAATTTGTCTATCTTTTACTCAATAGCATGTAGTAAATGTTGAAATGTTGAAATCAGGCATTTTCAATTCTCTTGAAATTTTTAATTGTTGGTCATGGGCTTGAACTCTGGGCCTGGGCACTGTCCCTCAGCTCTTCAGCTCAAGGCTAGCACTCTACCACTTGAGCCACAATGCTACTTCCAGTTTTCCGGTGGTTTATTGGAGATAAGAGTCTCATGCACTTTCCTGCCCAGGCTGGCTTTGAACTGAGATCCTCAGATTTCAGCCTCCTGAATAGCCAGGATTATATGCATGAGCCACTGGTGCCCAGCTTCTCTTGAAATTTTCAACCTTTAGCATTGTTCTTTGCTTCCAAACTTGTTTTGGTTATTCTAGATCCTTAATTTTATAGATTATAGTATCAGTTTGACTATAAAAAGGTGCTAGAATTTTTATTGGAATTCTATTGAATCTTTAATTTTGAGAAAATTAGCATATTAACTTATGGATCATAGACCTTAATGTAAATGTGTGCTAAATCTAAAATAATTCCTTAAGAAAATATAGGTGAGGAAGTAGATCTATGACTCAAATAATAGAATGCTAGCTTGAGCACAAAAGCTCAGAGATAGTACTCAGACCCTGAGGTCAAGGCCCAGAACTGGCACAGAAGAGAGAGAGAGAGAGAGAGAGAGAGAACTTTATTTGGGTTGGAATCATGGCTCTAGTGGTAGAATGCCAGCAAATGAGTGAAAGCAACTATCAAATATTGAGTTCAAGTCCTGGTCTCAGACAAAAAAGAAAAGGTTAGAGATTTAGTCCCTAGGACACAAAAAGCATGAGCCATTAAAAAGAAAAAGACAAAATGGATTTCATCAAAATAGAAACATTTTGTTTTTTCAAAGCACTATTGGAAGCCTTAAAAGATTTACTAATAGCTGGGTGCCTGTGGCTCATGCCTATAATCTTAGTTACTCAGGAGCCTGAGATCTGAGGATTATGATTCAAAGCTAGCCTGGGCAGGAAAATCCATGAGACTTTTATCTCCAATTAATCACCAGAAAACCAGAAGTGGAACTGTGGTTCAAGTGGTAGAGCACTTCACCTTGAGCTGAAGAGCTCAGGGACAACAACAAAAACAAAAGATTTACTATTAAGAAGGTATACTTTTGTCTGGAACATATAAAGAAGTCTATATAACTGGTAAGATAGAAAGGCCAAGTTGGGCACTCAGGAGGCTGACATCTTTGGATTGCAGTTTGAAGCCAGCCTGGGCAGAAAAGTCTGTGAGACTCTCCTCTCAAGTTAATTACCAAAAAGCTGGCTGTGTAAGTGTGACTCAAATGGTAGAGTGCTAGCCTAACTTTGAGCAAAAGAAGCTCAGGGAGGGCTAGGAAAGTGGCTCAGTGGTAGAGCGCTTGCCTTGCATGCCAGAGGCCCTGGGTTCGATTCCTCAGCACCACATAAGCAGAAAAAAAAAAGCCAGAAGTGGTGTTATGGCTCAAGTGGTAGCGCCCAAGCCTTGAGCTGAAGAGCTGAGAGACAGCGCTCAGGCCCAGAGTTCAGCCCCCATGACCGGACCCCCCCCCCCCAAAAAAAAAAAAAAAAGAAAAAGAAGCTCAGGGATAGGCCCTGAGTTCAAGGACTGGCAGAGACAGAGTGGGGGGGAGGGGGAGAGAGAGGGGGGGGAGGGGGAGAGAGAGAGAGAGAGAAAGAGAGAGAGGGAGAGAGGGAGGGAGGGAGGGAGGGAGGGAGAGCGCCAATAGAAATTGGCACAGAAGTAGATCAGACACATCACAAAAGATATGCAAATAGCCAATAGAATTTGAAAACATGGTAACCATTATAACTTAAAAATTGTGATTATGGGCTGGGAAAGTGGCTCAGTGGTAGAGTGCTTGTCTTGCATGCATGAAGCCCTGGGTTTGATTCCTCAGCACCACATAAGCAAAAAGAAAAAAGCCGGAAGTGGTGCTGTGGCTCAAGTGGTAGAGCACTAGCCTTGAGCTGAAGAGCTGAGGGACAGTGCTCAGGCCCAGAGTTCAGGCCCCACGACTGGACCAAAAAATAAAAATAAAAAGGGAGCCGGGCGCTGGTGGCTCACGCCTGTAATCCTGGCTACTCAGGAGGCTGAGATCTGAGGATCGTGGTTCAAAGCCAGCCCGGGCAGGAGAGATGGTGAGACTCTTATCTCCAATAAACTACCAGAAAACCGGAAGTGGCGCTGTGGCTCAAGTGGTAGAGCTCTCACCTTGAGCTGAAGAGCTGAGGTACAATGCCCAGGCCCAGAGTTCAAGCCCCACGGCCAACCAAAAAATAAATAAATAAATAAAAGGGGGCCTGGGAAGGTGGCTCCATGGTAGAGTGCTTGCCTTGCATGCATGAGGCCCTGGGTTTGATTCCTCAGCACCACATAAGCAGAAAAAGCCGGAAATGGCACTGTGGCTCAAGTAGTAGAGCGCTAGCCTTGAATGAAGAGCTGAGGGGGACAACGCCCAGGCACAGAGTTCAGGCCCCAGGACCGACAAAAAATAAATGAATGAATGAATAAATAAATAAAAGGGAAGGTGGATGCTGGTATTCATGTCAATAATTCTATTCAGCAGGTTGAGATCTGAGGATCAGCATTTGATGCCAGCCTGGGGAAGGAAAGTCCGTAAGACTTTTATTTACAATTAACCAGCAAAAAGTTGCAAGTGTGACTGTGGCTCAAGTGATAGAGTGCTAGTCTTGAGTGAAAAAGCTAAAGAACAGTTCCCCAGCTCCAAGTTCAACCCCAGTATTGGTACCAAAAACTCTGGTGGCTCATAGTTGTCAAACAGGCTACTCAAGAAGTTTGAGATCTGAGGATTGTGATCCAAAGCCAGCCTGGGCAGGAAAGCCCAAGAGACTTTTATTCCCAGTTAACCAGTTAAATTCTGGAAGTGGAGGTATGGCTCAAGCAGCAGAGGGCCAGACTAGAGTAAAGGGGAAAAAAAGCCAAGTCAGAGCCCAAGGCCCTGAGTGTATTACAAAATAGTACTTAATATACACATGAGAATAGAATAATGAAATTAGTTGAAAATTGGCTAAAAAGGGAAAACAGGAATAAGAAAGAACAATAGAGTGTGAATTTGATCAAGGAACATTGTATGTGTATATAGAAATATAACAAGCAATACATGTACATATAAACACTTAGGCCCAAATGTTCATAGCAACTTTATTCATGGAAGCCCCCAAAGTTGAAGCCATGTAAATGTCCATCAGTAGGTATTGGATTAATTAGTATATTTACTTAATAGAGAATAGCTTGGCAATAAAGAGGCATGAACTAGTATTACTTAGCACAACATACGGTTTCTTCTCAGAAACATGATATTGAGTGAGTGAAGTCAGTTGCAGAAGAGTACAACTTAATTTATGTATTTTTTTGTGCCAGACCTAGGGCTTGAACTCAGGGCCTAGGCTCTGTCCCTGACCTTTTCATGTCAAGGCTAGCACTATATCACTTGAGCCATAGCTCCACTTCCTGGTGTTTTTGGTAGTTTAGTGGAGATAAGAGTCTCACAGACTTCCCTGTCTGGGCTGGCTTCAAACTGTGATCCTTAGATCTCAGCCTCCTGAGTAGTTAGGATTTTACAGATGTGAGCCATAGACACCTCAGTACTTTTTTTTAATTAAAAAATTATTATTTTCCTTATTCTTATTATAAAGGTGATGTACTAAGGGATTACAATTACAGGTCAAGTAATGAGTACAATTCCTCTCATACCGTGTCTTCCTTTCCCTCAGGCTTTCCTAGCACAACTTTATTTATTTATTTTGTCAGTCATGGGGCTTGAACTCTGAGCCTGGACACTATCCCTGAGCTCTTCAGCTCAAGGCAAGTGCTCTACCAATTGAACCACAGTGCCACTTCCTGTTTTCTGGTGGTTAATTGGAGATAAGAGTCTCACAGACTTTCCTGCCCCGGCTGGCTTTGAACCATGATCTTCAGATCTCAGCATCCTAAGTAGCTAGGATTATGAATGTGAGCCACCAGCACCCCACTTACAACTTTATTTTTATGAAATACTAAGGAAGACCAAGTTATAGTGGCTAACAACAGATAAATATTGTCAGAGGGTAAGGATAGAAAGAGGGCATTACTGCAAGTGGACAAAGGGACTACCTTCAGATGATGAAAACGTTCTGGGTCTTTGCTGTGATGGTGGTTACATCGATGTATACTCTTTACAAAACACACTGAACTATAAATAAGAGTAGTTTTATTATACATTATTAGAAAAACAACAGGTATCTCTATCTGTTGTGGTCTAGACTTCAGGACATAAGCATTTTGTGGGCTTCAGTTTGAACTAGACCAGGTGTGGGACCTGCTGTCCACTCAGTACTGAGGACCACAGTTTAAACATAAGGAGCCATTCCTGGGGAACATTTCCTTTCATGGCTCATTTCAGGGACAAAGGAGTGTAGGAAATTCTCTTCTTTACTCCTGTGCCTTTATTTTTGCCAGGTCTGCTCACTGGAGAGATTCCGCTCCTTACAGGACAAGCTACAACTCCTAGAAGAGGCAGTCAGCATGCATGATGGAAATGTTATTACTGCTGTAAGTTGTAGACTTTTATTGTCCTTTATTTTGTTTCCATTGGTTTCTAAAAATCCAATTAAAATTGACTTTGAACATTTTGTGTTCAACGTCAAGTAAAGACAAAGGCTTTTTCCTCAAGGTATAGGATTCACAGCATTCCATGCTGCAGGGATCAGCTAATGAGACATAAATTTTATGTGGAGCCTTGTAACCAGAAAACAGAGGCTGGCTATTCTATGTTATTAAAAATGTAATCTGAGGCAGGAGAGATATGGAAGCACTCTCTCTGAGTTGTCTCCTACTCAGTAGAGTCATGGCTGTGTGGACTTCAAGACACGGTTCAGTTCCAAATGTCCATCACCTTTTGCTCCATCCTTCTGAGCCATCTGTCACGTTCCATCATGATTTTTAATGCATTGCTGGCCTCAGTAGCCATCAGGCGATCAGGGCAGGGTGCACAAGCTGCACATTCTTTGTTCTTTTTTTCCCCTAGGTTCTGATTTTCCTGAAGAGGACACTGAGCAAAGGTGAGCATGATTTGAAGGAAATCTTCATTCAGTGAGGTATCTGCCACATTTGAAGGGAGAATGGCATGTGACTTCCACATCAGAATTCACCAGTCTGGTTGAGAGACAGCTGGAGTAGCCTGGCACTTCCGAGCACGCATCGCCCCTCTGAATGCATCCTTCAGGGTAGTACCCTATATTATCCACCATAGTAACTGCCTCCATTTATGGGGTAGACAGATGGCTGTGTTTGTTTGTGGAAGTGAGAATCTGTGTTAAGTGTCTGCTGTTTGTGTTGTTGAGCACTGAAAAGCTGCTTCAATGGCTGTGAGCTGCTATGGGTCATAGAAGCTGACAATGGTAGGTTGAGACAGAGGAAACCATTCTTAGCATCTGCTGGGCTTTGAGCAGATAATGTTTGAGTAGGAAGGCCAATTTCATACGTGAATACTAAGCTTTACTCTTTTCCCCATCTGCCTCTTTCTTCTCACCTTCCAGAGATCCTCTTCCGAGAACTGGAGGTGAGACAGGTTGCCCTAAGACACCTCATTCACTTCCTTAAGGAAATAGGTGATCAAAAGCTGCTAATAGACCTTTTCCGGTAAGAACCAATCCTCTGGTCTGTAAAGCTTATTAAGGACTTTTCAAGGTACTCTGAGGGATACAAAGAAATAGAAGATACTGTCCTTTTTCTGAAATGTGATAGGGTAACAAACTACACAGTCTGTACTAAAGTGACAGTACAGTAGTTGGTTAAGAACCAGGCTCCAGAGTCAAACCTACCTAGTTTAAATATGGGTGCTACCACTTTGTTAACTTAAGAATGACCTTGGGCTGGACGCTGGTGGCTCATGCCTGTAGCTACTCAGGAGGCTAAGATCTGAGGATCTGGGTTCAAAGCCAGCCCGGACAGGAAAGACCATGAGACTCTTATCTCCAATAAACCACCAGAAAACAGGAAGTGGTACTGTGGCTCAAGTGGTAGAGCACTTGCCTTGAGCTGAAGAGCTGAGGGCAGCACCCAGGTCCAGACAAACTTTGTAACACCTTGGTTGTTTTCTCATCTGTAAAATGGGTGATTATGAAGATTGAGAGTTTCAAGTTAGTGTGACAGCCAGCACTAAGCCTAATGCCTAGTTTGACATGTTAATCTTTTATTTTTTTAAATTTTTAATTTTTTGCTGGTCCTGGGGCTTGAACTCAGGGTTTGGACGCTATTGTGAGCTGCTTTTTTTTTTTGGTCATGAGGCCTGAACTCTGGGCCTGGGCGCTGTCCCTCAGCTCTTCAGCTCAAGGCTAACGCTCAACCATTTGAGCCACAGCGCCACTTCCGGCTTTTTCTGCTTATGTGGTGCTGAGGAATCGAACCCAGGGCCTCATGCATGTGAGGCAAGCACTCTACCACTGAGCCACCTTCCCAGCACCATGAGCTTCTTGTGCTCGACTAGCGTTCGATCACTTGAGCCACATCTTCACTTCTTGTTGTTTTTTTTTTTTTATTTTATTGGAGATAAGAATCTCATGGACTTTACTGCCCCAACTGGCTTCAAACCGCAATCCTCAGATCTTAGCCTCCTGAGTAGCGAGGATTATAGGCATGAGCCATCGATGCCCAGCTAATCTATTTTTTTATACATTTCTTTTCAAATTAAAAAAAATATTTTTGTTTATGTGGTACTGTTTATGTGGCCTCATGCATGCTAGGCAAGCTCTCTACTACTAGACCACATTACCAGCCCCCCCCCCTTTTTTTTGTTGGTCATGGGCCTTGAACTCTGGGCCCAGATGCTGTCCCTGAGCTCTTCAGCTCAAGGTGAGTGCCACAGCACTATTTCGGTTTTCTAAGTGGTTTATTGGAGATAAGATTCTCACCAACAGACCTTCCTGCCCGGGCTGGCTTTGAACTATGATTCTCAGATCTCAGCCTCCTGTGTAACTAGGATTACAGGCATGAGCCACCAATGACCTGCTCCAATTTTTTTTTAAAGCATTTTCTTATAAAAGACTTAAAGATACCTTTCATTGTTTGGTCCTAAGTGATGCCAATGAGAAAGCGCAGTGGTAAAGAAGAAACTAATTTTCACTCAGGCTACTCAAGGAACGTTTCAGAATTGACTAGGATTTGAATTGTGTCTATGAGGCTAGGTAGGATTCTGCTAGCTAAGTGGTAGGACATTTGTGCTAGGGGCAGAAGAAGGTTGAAGATAATCTTCAATCATGTTTTCTTTCCCTGTTTCACTCCAGTAAGTGGAGACTATTTCCCAACCTTAGATTAAAATGTGTGTGTACTTTTGTAGCCTTCATCATTGTCAGAGAAGAGGTTTGAATGTTTGTTTAGGCTCTTTGGTCCAGGGTAACTACCCGAACAGTGATGAGTAGCCTCAGAGAGCAGAGCGGGGAAAGCAGGTTAACTGGGTCGGGTCAAGATTGTAGATAGCCATCCGGAATTTGTATAAGAAGATTTGCTCATAAAGCTGGCTATTTTCTGCCTATGACTCTACCTCATTCCTACCCAATCAATAATGTATTATCAAGCATTGCCTCCTTGCCATAACAATGATATTCATCTTGGTATATTCAGAAGGAGGAGGAACCAGAGGCAGTCTTCATGATTTAAGGACTTAATGTAACCATTGGGGAAGACCAAATATATTGTATGCTATACATAAGAAGAGTAAACATGCATACAGAATAACTATTTTTAGGATTGTTTTGACAGAATGGAGTGATTTTAGTTTTTTTGTTGTTGTTGTTTTTTGGTCGGTCGTGGGGCTTGAACTCTGGGCTTGGGTACTGTCCCTGTGCTTTTCAGCTCAAGGCGAGCTCTCTACCGTTTGAGCCACAGCGCCAGTTCTGGTTTTCTAGTGGTTTATTGGAGATAAGAGTCTCATGGATTTTCCTTGCCTGGGCTGACTTTGAACCATGATCCTCAGATCTCAGCCTCCTGAGTAGTTAGGATTACAGGCCTGAGCCACCGGCGCCTGGGTGATTTTAGTTTTTTGTTTTTTTTGTTTTGTTTTTTGTTTTTTTGCCAGTCCTGGAGCATGAATTCAGGTCCTGGGCACTGTCCCTGAGCCTCTTTGTGCCCAAAGTTAGCATTCTACCACTTGAGTCACAGCTCCAATTCGATTTTCTGGTGGTTAATTGGAGATAGTCTCATGGACTTTTCTGTCCAAGCTGGCTGGTTTTAACTTTTAACAAATAAGCAAATAAAGTATTACTGTGAATTAGAGTAGGTTTTGTTTAAGCTCTTAGTGTACAGTGTTGCCTCCTTGTCCTTTTTGTTTAGTAGGAAGAACAAATGCACTGTTTCACAAGCATTGCTGGTGGTAGTTTAACAGGAGGGCTTTTGGATGGAAGGAAACAAGTTTGAACTGTATTTCTTCTTAGAGCTACATTTTGTTTAGTGAGGTAAAATGCCACACATCAATATATAAAAATGCTCTGCTCTCTTCTGTTTCTTCCCAGGTTCCTAGATAGAACAGAAGAACTGGCGGTAAGTGTGGCGTTTGTTTCAATTGGGGACATGTTAAACTGACATCTAAACTCAGCTTCCATGATTACCAGACAAGTCAAATGATACATTGTTTTATTTTCTTTTTTACATGCTCATTTGGTTGGGTTTATAGGTAAATTTTATTTAAAATGAATGAAAACTAGCTGATCAATTTGTATTTCATTTTTAAAAGTTGTTCTCAAATCAGGTTTGAAGGAACTTTTTCGTTATAGCATAAACACCAACCAAAACAGTGAAAGTTAAGAGAGTAAGAAATCATCGGGGGCTGGGAAGGTGGCTGAGTGGTAGAGCGCTTGCCTTGCATGCATAAGGCCCTGGGTTCGATTCCTCAGCACCATATAAGCAAAAAGAAAAAAGCCGGAAGTGGCGCTGTGGCTCAAGTGGTAGAGCGCTAGCCTTGAGCTGAAGAGCTGAGGGACAGTGCCCAGGCCCAGAGTTCAGGACCCACGACCGGACCAAAAAAAAAAAAAAAAGAGAGAGTAAGAAATCAGACACATGTTGAAAGAGGAAAACAAATCAGGCTTGTGGTGTACCTAGGATACATTTTGCTGAGACCTTAGTGGCCAATGTGAAAATTGATTTTTGACTGATTTGTCTTAGACTCAAATGGAGTACAGGAACAAATCTGAAATTTCACCAGAAACATAATTGCATTATTAAAACTTTAGTGAAGCATTTTTGTTTTTTAAATATTTACTATTATTTTATTTTTAAGTAGTTGTACAAAGGCATTTTTAATTCAGCCTGTCAATTTCTGAGTATGATGCATTAGAAATTATTTACCAAATTATTTTATAAAATTTGTTTTATATGTTATCTGTTTTTCTTTGTTATATCTGTTCCAAAAAAGACATTCTCCTGCCTAAAGTTATTACATTTTTTTAAATATCAGTGTGTTTATTTACCAGTTTGGTTTTCACCAAGTTTTTACAAAGTTTTTAATAATTGTATATAAAATCAGATTTCATAATCATCACTAATAGACACTTCTACATGAAGCTTATTAGTCTGTTGTATGCTAAGAACAAATCTTAGGCTTCATGCATGCTAAGCCACACCTCTTCTATACTTGGCCTATTCTCTCAGCCCTACATCAGGGTTTTATTGTGTTTTTTGTTTGTTTGTTTGTTTTTTTGCCAGTCCTGGGGCTTGAACTCAGGGCCTGGGCACTGTCTCTGAGCTTCTTTTGGTCAAGGCTAGCACTCTACCACTTGAGCCATACCACCATTTCCAGCCTTTTCTGTTTATGTAACACTGAGGAATAGAACCCAGGGCTTCAAGCATGCTAGGCAAGCACTCTACCACTAAGCCACACATTCCCAGCCTGTTTTGTTGTGTTTAATCTCAAAATAGAAGCCACATAAGGAGATTTTTCTTTCAGTTATATGTAGTATTTGAATATGAATAGTTATAGCTATGAAAAATAAGTCAGATTGACATGATATTGTTAAGTGTTAGATATTTATGTACTATCATTAATCACATACATAGTTGAGAATGTCAAACATAATTGCAGTAAATATTTAGCTCTCTGCTCTGTAAAAAGCTAAAGCAAAGTATCTATATTAGTTAAATACTATAATACTAAAGCCACACTCAAAGGTAAATTGAGATTGTGTATCTACTTCTATTGTAGGTTAGCACTATCCATTTGCAATTCCTGTAACGATAGGAATAGTCTACATTTATGCCATCTGATATGTTAGTTATAGCTATGGGGTACTTATGGCTACTGTAACTAAGTACCTAATTTTTTTTTTTTTTTTTAATCAGTCGTGAGGCTAACAAAACTCAGGGCCAGGGCATTTTTCTGAGTTTTTTTTTTTTTTTTTCCCCCCTCAAAGCTAGCACTTTACCACTTTGAGCCACAGAGCCACTTCCAGTTTTCTGGTGGTTAATTGGAGGTAAGAGTCTCAGGGACTTTCTAGCCTGGGCTGGCTGTGAAACGCCATCCTAAGATCTCAGCCTCCTGAGTAGCCAGCATTACAGATGTGAGCCATCAGCACCTGGCTCTAAATTTTTTATTTAATTAAATTTAGTTCACTAAATATGGATATTGACTACCTCATTGGAGAGTACAGTTAAGGATAATCCTACCAGTGATTTGTGTATATGTGTGTATATATGTGTTTATGCACGTACGCATGCACGCACCAGTCTTGGGGCTTCAACTTAGGGCCTTGGTACTGACCCTGAGCTTTTTTTTGCTCTGCTAGTGTTTACCACGTGAGCCACAGCTCCACTTCTGGCTTTTTTGGTGCTTAATTGGAGAAAAGAGTTTTACCAACTTTTCTGCCAAGGCTGGCTTTGAATCACAATCCTCAGATCTCAGGCTTCTGAGTAGCTAGGATTACAGATGTGAGCCACAGATGCCCAGCTCCTATCAGTAATTTTATTTTATTAAAAATTTTTCTTGTTATTATAAAGTTGATATACAGAGGATTTATAGTGACATGTCAGGTAAAGAGTACATTTCTTTATGGACAGTGTCACCCTTCCCTTCCCTTGCTCTCTCCCTTAGTTTTTTTCCTTTCTCATCCCACTCACAAGTTGTATAGTTCGTTTTCACTATTGTGTCCAGTGAGGCTATCAGTGATTTTAAATCACACTTTTCCCTGTTTCTGTCTCAATACACACATGACTAACTACTCCCAGAGGGAATCAGAAAATGAGGAGTCTGGTTGTTTCTCTGTCTCTGGGTCTCTTACTTTGTGGTGCTAGAGATTGAACCATGCTAGGCTAAGGGTCTACCACTAAGTTATATCTCTAGCCCCCTCACTCTCCTAAGGAGACAAGGTAGCTTAGAGCTGTTCTTTTAAAAAATTTTTTTACAGTTATCCCACTATCGAGAGCATTTGAACATTCAGGACTCTGAAAAACGAAAAGAATTTCTGAAGACCTGCATTGGGTATGTATGGGAGAAAATTAATTTTAAGTGTAAATACCTTATGCAGAAGGAATGAAGAAAATAAAGAGGGTGGAATAGATAGAGAGGAAGGAAAAGGCTAACAGTAAATCAGATGCATTGTATGTTTATATTTAATTATGATACTGGTCTCTGAAATCCCTAGAATCTGATGTGTAGTCCAACCTTTTATCTAGAATATAAGTCCTTGTTGTTTTTTTTTAAAGCCCCAACTACTAAACCACCTCTAATGGGGTGATTGTTGGATAGCTTTCATTATTGCACAGTACCTCATTATGTTAAGCTGAAACTTGCTTCTCTGTAATTTTTTTAAAAAAGAAGTTAGACATCATTTTTATTTATATCTTGAAGATCTCTGTATCTTTTTTTGTTTGTTAGTTTTTTGTCGGTCAGTTGGTCATGGAGCTTGAATCCTGGGCCTGGGTGCTATCTCTGAGCTTTTCAGCTTATAGCAAGTGCTTTAGGACTTGAGCCACAGCTCCACTTCGTTTTCTGGTGGTTAATTGGAGATGAGAGTCTCACAGTTCCTGCCTGGGCTGGCTTTGAACTGGGATTCTCAGATCTCAGCCTCCTGAGTAGCTAGGATTATAGGCGTGGGCCACCAGCGCCCAGCTGATCTCTGTATCTTTTAAGATGGATATATAGTCTTCCATTAGTCCTTGCTTCTTTAGGTTTGGTGTTCACAGTTCTTTCAGCCATCTCAAATGTGACGTGATTTTTAGGTTTCATAGTTATTTGCGTATGACTATGTAATCTTTAATTTTATGATTAATATAAAGTGAGTATATCATATAGCTCTGGAGAAAAAGGAGAAAAGTTAGGGTCATGAAAAAACTAGGACTTATTGCTGTCTCTTTTTATCACTTACAAAAATTTACCATGATTTACACTTACCTAGGATAGCCTAATTGAATTTCACAACTCTTCCAGGAAAATAGGGAGCACTTCTAATGGATAGAGTTATGAACGGAGGGCCTTACCTATTGATGTATCATATGATTTAGGCAAGAACATTGTCTCTAAATTTCTTCATGATCTTATGATCATAGTTTTGAAGATGAGCTCCTTGCTATTTATGTAGATCTTTGCTATCCTTGCTAATCTTCAAACCTACTGCCAGTCTATATAATTTTATTTACTTTTTCTCTATAATTAAAAAAAAAAAAACAGCTAACAAGCTGGGCACTGGTAACTCTTATCCGTAATTCTACTACTCAGGAGGCTGAACTCTGGAGGATTACAGTTCAAGGCTAGCCTAGCAGAAAAGTCCACTAGATTCCATCCCCCAAATACCAGCAAAAAACAAGGCTCAAGTATAGAATGCCAGCCCAGAAAGTAGGAGGCCTTGAGTTCAATTCCCAGTACTACCAAAAATAAAAAGGCTAACAACTTTAAGTGCTCCTTAAGTAGAGCTAGTCAATGACATTGACCACAGAGCTTCTCGGGATGTGCAGGATGGATGGTTGACTGGGTTCACTTGCTAGCTCTGTGATTCCTTTATCAATGTCCACCTTTAGGTTGCTGTAAATGTGAATTCAGATCAGACTTGTGAAACACTATGGACCTCTATGATGATTTGGTTTAGTTGGGTTTGTTTTCCTTTTTGCATAGAGAAAGAGGTACTAACCTTCTGGCCCTCTACCAGTTTGCCATTTTCAGCAGAAGATACTGCACATATACAAGACCATTACACCCTCCTGGAACGTCAGATTATTATTGAGGTTAGACTCCTCCTCTCTAAGTTTTCTACTTCAGTGGCCACACTCAACACCATGGAGCATCCAGGGGACTTCACTGTTCTGTTGCATGCTCTGTTATAGTTTCTGAAGCCCTTCCATTTCCCCTGTGCACCACAGGCCAATGCCTCAGTTGTTCCTTCTCTTCTGACCTGCTGTTAACCTAGACGTACTTCTTCATCCCAGATCTCTCTTGTCATCACCACTTCTGAATCTCTTAATCTATCTTAGATGATCATTTTATGTTTTTCCATGTGTGTAAATGAGGAGGTTGCTTGCTAGGCATGCACTTTACCACTTGAACCATACATCCCAACCTCATTTTACGGATTTTACTCCCTCCTCTTATCCCTAGGGTATCCTAGGCAATTTCTTTCTTTCTCTCTTTTTTGCTTCATCCCTGGATTGGGAAAAACAACTTCTACTCCTATATTATTAAAGGTCTTTCTCCTTTCTCTGCTCCAGATACTTTTTTTTTTTTAACTTGGCTTAATCCACAGGCAAATGATCGACATTTAGAGGCAGCAGGACAAACTGAGATCTTCCGAAAGCATCCCCGGAAAGCTTCCATCCTCAACATGCCACTAGTGACAACGCTTTTCTACTCCTGCTTCTATCACTACACGGAAGCTGAGGTACAGGAAAAATACAAAAGGAAGAAACACAAGAAGAACATAGTTCCAATTCAGTATCTTTTATTTATTATTTTTATTTTTTATTATGTAGGTAATTGTAGAAAGGAATTGCCATTTAACAAAGCAGTGTATGAATACAATATATCCTGATCAATGTCACCCTTTCAGAATTCTCACTCATTCCTCCCCTACCCACCTCCTTCCCTTACTCTTCTCAATTTTTTTTTTTTTTTTTTTTTTTGGGTCCGGTCATGGGGCCTGAACTCTGAGCCTGGACACTGTCCCTCAGCTCTTCAGCTCAAGGCTAGCGCTCTACCACTTGAGCCACAGCGCCATTTCCGGCTTTTTTCTTTTTGCTTATGTGTGCTGAGGAATTGAACCCAGGGCCTCAGGCATGCAAGGCAAGCACTCAACCACTGAGCCACCTTCCCAGCCCATCTTCTTAATTTTGTAGGATATACATTGGGTTCTTATCTCCATTTTCCCCCTCTTCTCCTATCTATTCACTCCCCCATTACTCAATCCAATATCTTGATAGACTCCATTAACAATGGAAATGTAGTGCCTTCAGAAATCTACCTGGAAGCCAGGTGCTGATAGCTCAAGCCTGTAATCCTAGCTACTCAGGAGGCTGAGATCTGAGAACTCTTGGTTTGAAGTCAGCCCGGGCACCAAAGTCATGAGACTTTTATCTCCAATAAACTACTCAGGAAAAGCCAAAGTTAGCACTGTGGCTCAAGTGGTAGAGCACTAGGCTTGAGCACAAAGAGGCTCAAGGATAGCGCCCAGACCCTGAGTTCAAGCCCCAGGACCAGGGGAAAGAAAAAAGAAAAAGAAAAAAATCCTCCTGGAAGCTCTCTTGGCCTCAGCAGGAGTGCGCCCAGAGGGATACAGGGGAACATAAGGGTTTGCGTGGCTGGCTTCAATAGGCTGGCATTCTAGCAAAGTATATCATATACTGTCTCTTGTGCTGACTCTGTGGCAGGCTCTGTTCAAAGGTCCATAGTGTCCAGTGGCTTGCCATGGAGTTGAACGGCATATCAGGTAGCTGTGGGGCCGTTTTTATTTTTAATTTGGAAGTAGACATTGTCCCCTTATATGAATTACCAGAAAATTTGAAAACCACCTTATTAATTCAATTCCTGATCAACTGGATTCTGTTGATATCCCCCTAGAGTCGTGGAATTTTTCTCATAAGCGAATTTCTGAGTCATAATGGTTAGAATGAGATGTAGAAAGTTCGTGTGGTAGAAAAGACATGGGAGAGTGAGTGCCCTCACTGACGTTGCTTCTCCTCTTGCATCCCAGGGGACATTCAGCAGTCCCATCAACCTGAAGAAGACATTTAAGGTAGGTAGATAGTGATCAGTATTTTGTAAAGTAGAATAACTACAGGGAGGGGCTGTTGGCTTTGTGGAAGTGAGGGAAGACTTGAACTGAATGCTGTGCAGCAGGGCTGGATGACCTGAGAAGTTTATTAATTTTTAAGGGGCAAAATTGATGCCAGAGAATACATATTCTTTTTAAAAAAATTATCAAGCCACCTCTTTTGGGACATACCTACTTCCTCTTAATTTTTTCTGTTTCTGTCTAATAGATCCCCGACAAGCAGTATGTGCTGACAGCCCTGGCTGCTCGTGCCAAGCTCCGAGCCTGGCATGATGTTGATGCCCTCTTCACCACGAAGGTGGGTGCCCTGGAACTAATTTGGGTTGCTGAGCCTGGGAGAAAGGAGGGTCTAAGTTCTAGTTACTAACATTTTTTTCCTCCAACCTTTAAATTCTCCAAATTTTAAACCTAAAGAAAACTTGAAAGTTGACTATAGTGACCACTAATAGTCTCTTCCTACTTCACAAATTTATTAACATTTCTGCCATATTATTTAGCTTTCTCTTTTTCTATGTCATGCATTTTTTTCTGAACCATTGGAATGAACTGCAAATCTGACGTTTCCTTTAAGTACATAATCATCTGTCTTCTTCTTAAGCACATTGTTCTTAATATTATTGGTGCAATATCATCACTTGTATTTGCCAAATATATATTTCAGAAATATAGTCAGTATTTAAATTAGCTCTTGACAATTGTTTTTTTTTTGTGTGTGTGTGCTTGCTATTGAGATCCAGTCAAGGATCTTACATTGTATTTGGTTTATGGTTTTTAAATAATTATTAGATACATTTTAAGGTGTACAATATATATATATATTTTTGGGGGGTGGGGGGTCCGGTCGTGGGGCCTGAACTCTGGGCCTGGGCGCTGTCCCTCAGCTCTTCAGCTCAAGGCTAGCGCTCTACCACTTGAGCCACAGTGCCACTTCTGCCTCTTTCTGTTTATGTGGTGCTGAAGAAAATAAACACAGGGCCTCATGCATACAAGGCAGGCACTCTACCACTGAGCCACCTTCCCAGCCCTTGTATTTTCTTTTGACTAGCAATGTTAATCATTCTTATGTTCTCTTTGGGTTATTTATTTATCTGCTATGAAATTTAGATATTGACTATCAGAAATTCAGCTTACAACATTTTCTCCTAATTCACAGGTTTTAGTTGTTTGCTTTGCTCACAGTCTTTGTATTCCTACTTACCTTTGCTCTTATAGCCTGAGTTTTTAGTGGGATACCCAAAAATCCATTGCCAAGGTCAATATCAAGAGCCTTTTCTCCTATGAGCTCTTTTAGAAGTTTCTGCTTTCAGGTCTTATGGTTAGATCTTTCATTTATGTTTTGTATAGTGTAAATAAGGTATCCAATTTCATTCTTTTATATTTAGAAATGTAAAATGCAGTTTTCTCAACACTTTTTATTTTTTATTTTGTCAGTTGTGGGGCTTGAACTGTGGGCCTGGGCGCTGTCCTTAGCTCTTCAGCTCAAGGCTAGCACTCTACCACTTGCACCACAGTGCCATTTCCGGTTTTTTTCTGGTGGTTTACTGGCTGGCTTTGAACTGAGATCCTCAGATCTCAGACTCCTTAGTAGTTAGGATTATAGGTGTGAGCCACCAGCACCTGGCTAGCACTGGTTTTTGAAGACACTATTGACACTATCTTTTCTCCCACTGTGTCTTCTTGATGTCCATATGAAGTTGTGCCGATATTGAGCATGTGTGCTTGGGTTTATTTTTGGGCTTGTCTTCCTGTTAGTAGTATTCTATGAGTTTATTTTTGTTTGTTTTTTGGGGGTCTGGTCATGGGGCCTGAACTCTGGGCCTGGTCGCTGTCCCTCAGCTCTTCAGCTCAAGGCTAGCACTCTACCGCTTCAGCCACAGCACCACTTCTGGCTTTTTTCTTTTTGCTTATGTGGTACTGAGCAATCGAACCCAGGGCCTCAGGCATGCAAGGCAAGCGCTCTACCACTGAGCCACCTTCCCAGCCCCTATGAGGTTTATTTTTAATGCCAGGAGTATACTGTTTTTATTACTAAAGCTTTGTAATATAATTTGAAATCAGAGTATTCCTACTTCTAATTTCTCTTTCTCAGAATTGCTTTAGCCATTTGAGGTCATTTATGGTTTTATAAAATTGGTTTACATTTTGAATTTCAAGATTTTCATTATGGGTTTGAAAAATTTTTTGTTTTCCTTCTTTTTAATAAGTCCCATTAACTTCCAATCAAAATACCTATATAAAAACCAAACACTGTACAAAAGTATAAGTATAAAATATGAAGAGGGCTGGGATATTGCTCAGTGGCACAGAGCATGCCTACCATGGGAGGCCTTGAGTTTAATTCCTGGCATTCAAATTTTTTAAAAGGGGATCCTTTCTCATCATCTTTTTTTTTTTTTTTTGGTAGGGCGGGTCCGGTCATGAGGCCTGAACTCTGGCCCTAGGCACTGTCCCTCAGCTCTTCAGCTCAAGGCTAGCGCTCTACCACTTGAGCCACAGCGCCACTTCTGGCTTTTTTCTTTTTGCTTATGTGGTGCTGAGCAATCGAACCCAGGGCCTCATGCATGCAAGGCAAGCGCTCTACCACTGAGCCACCTTCCCCGCCCATCTCATTATCTTCTTACTCCTTGCTTACTCCGTGAAGCCAAACACTATTAGTGCCATATGACTGTAATCCTAGTGCTGAAGATCCTAGTTTAAAGCCAGCCCAGGCAGGAAAGTTAGTGAGACTCTTGACTAACGAAAAAAAAGTCAGAAGTGGAGTAGTGGTTCACATGGTAGAGAGCTAGCCTTGAGCAAAACAAAGCAAAACAAAAAAGGGACAACTCCCTGGCCAAGGACCGGGACAAAAGAAAAGTCTGAGCATGTAATACTTAGCTACTCAGGAGGCTGAAATCTGAGATCACCGTTCAAAGCCAGCCTGGGCAAAAAAGCCTGAGATTTTTTTTTGAGGATCTTTTTTGATAATTTAATAAGCAAAAACACATCAAGTTAATCTGTATTCCAAGTCTGTTATAACTACACTTCCATGTCAACCATTCTGTTCCTCAGTCTTCCTTTCACCTTAACCTTGTGGGTTAATTTTTTTGTTGTTCTTAATATATATTTTTTATTGTAAAGATACTGTACAAAGGGGTTACAGTTACATGAGCAAGGTAATGAGTCCGTTTCCTATCAAGCATTGTTACATCCTCCTTTGCTTTTCCCCTACCATCCCTTCCCTCCCCACCTCCCCAACTCCTCCATCTTCCCTACCCCTGCAAAGTTGTAAAGTTCGTTTTCAACATACTGTCTTGTATATCTCATTATTACAATGGGTCATCCTGTATCCTTATTTCAGCATTTTGTTATTTCCCTTCCCCTCCCCAAATTAGAAAAACGTATATACAAGATGCAGGACACTGAATCAAATACAGTGACAGCAGGTTGTACCATGGGGGAAGAACATACAAAGAAACAAAAAAAAAAAATCACATAGTACATTACAAGTACATTAAAAAGAACTGCAACAGCCGGGCGCTGGTGGCTCACGCCTGTAATCCTAGCTACTCAGGAGACTGAGATCTGAGCATCGCGGTTCAAAGCCAGTCCGGGCAGGACAGACCGTGAGACTCCTATCTCCAATAAACCACCAGAAAACCGGAAGTGACTCTGTAGCTCAAGTGGTAGAGCACTAGCCTTGAGCTGAAGAGCTGAGGGACAGTGCCCAGGCCCAGAGTTCAAGCCCCACAACTGACAAAACAAAAACAAAAAAAAACAAACCTGCAACAAAGATTCTTATCTCTAAGTAAGCATCCAAAAGGCAGGAAGTGGACCTGTGGCTCAAGTGGTAAAGTGCTCTTCAGCGAAAAATCTTAGGGACAACATCTAGTCCCTAAGTTCAAGCCTGAGGACTGGTGTGTGCGCATGGTGCGCGCGCGCACACACACACACACACAGTGTGATCACTAGCTTTCTAGACCTTCAGGAATTTACAAATGAATATTTATGTATACATGTAAAATATAGATATTAGGATTTTGAACACCAAGAAAGTCCTACTACAAATATTGTTGGTTTTTTTGAGAGATGTAGAGAATAGTACTAGAGATTAAAGCCAGGGCCTTCCCTGTATATGCTAGGCAAACTTCCTACCCTTCAGCTATATGCATGGCCTTTTTGTTTTGGGGACAGGGTCTTTTTGTTACTTCTGGCTGGCTGTCCTTAATCTGAAAATCCTCTTTCCTCCAGATCCTGAGTAACTAGGATTATATATGTATACCAGCTTTAAACCACTTGTTCTCTATTGCTCTTTCACTGACTTTATTTCGGTATTTTTGTTGATAGATCCAAGAACTTGTTTTCTGTTTTAACTTTTCTGGAAAAAAAAATCTTACTATTTCTCTTTCTGCCTATGTTATTCTGGTCTGACCATAAAACACAGGGAGAGCTCAGAGTGTGTTGACAATATTCACCATATACTGCTGCTCTGTCTTTTTGCAGAACTGGCTCGGTTACACCAAAAAGAGGGCACCCATTGGCTTCCATCGAGTTGTGGAAATTTTACACAAGAACAGCGCCCCTGTTCAGGTAATGATTCTGAACAAGAGTTAGGTACATAAAACCCTAGGAGACCTAACTTTTTGCCACTTTTTGTTTAGTGAAACAAATTTGACCTATTCTGGTTTTTCCTAACGACAGTACAATGGTCATGCTGGGTCTTGAGACAGGAATGTCCAGGATGGGATATTCTCTTTCCTTTAGAAGTAATAACAGAATGCCATCTTTGAGGAGCCATGTGGAGACTGATGTACTATTTTTATTTTTATTTATTTTACTTTATTTTTTTGGGGTGGGTGGGGAGGGTTGTGGGGCTTGAACTCTGGGCCTGGGCACTGTCCCTCAGCTCTTCAGCTCAAGGCTAGCACTCTACCACTTGAGCCACAGTGCCATTTCTGGCTTTTTCTGCTTATGTGGTGTTGAGGAATCAAACTCAGGGCTCTACCACTCTACCACAGAGCCACCTTCCCAACCCCTGATGTACTATTTTAAGTGATTCAAAAAGGGAGGGTTTGGGCTGGGAAGGTGGCTCAGTGGTAGAGCGCTTGCCTTGCATGCTCAAGGCCCTGGGTTCGATTCCTCAGCACCACATAAGCAAAAAGAAAAAAGCCGGAAATGGCGCTGTGGCTCAAGTGGTAGAGCGCTAGCCTTGAGCTGAAGAGCTGAGGGACAGTGCCCAGGCCCAGAGTTCAGGCCCCACGACCGGACCCATAAAAAAACAAAAAGGGAGGGTTTGGAGTTGTAACTGAGTTGGTAGAGCACCAGCCAATGAATGAAAGCATCTGATACTGAGTTCAAGTTTTAGTCTTGGGCAATAAAAAGAGAGGCTTTCTGGGCAAGGACATCGAGACATAGGGCGCATGCACTGGTTTGGGCCTAGGGTACTTCCTTGCTGTCATGTGTATCTGTTTTCTCCTTTTCTTCCTACTGCAAAAAATTAGTTCTGTACTTGATGATTGGAGTTACAGATATGGGACATTGAACTCTTCTGTCTCTTTTAGGACTTTTTTCTACCTACAGAGCTCTGTGCTCTTATGAGCCCAGGAACACTTGTCAAAATGACTTCTTTCCACAGATATTGCAAGAGTATGTCAATCTGGTGGAAGATGTGGACACAAAATTGAATTTAGCCACTAAGTTCAAGTGCCATGATGTTGTTATTGATGTAAGTCCTCAAGAAATGGGAAACCTGACTTAGGTCCTTGGTAGAAAGTGGGGGATTATTTAACATTCATCCTAGATCCTTTGATGGTGTCATTGGTTTTAACTGATAGGCAAAGTAGACAGAAGTTAGATTGGAGACCAGCATTTCTGTGTTATTTTTCCAGTCCTATGACTCATTTCTCAGGGCTTTTCTAAGTTGTTAACATTTGGAGAAATCAGAACCAAATCAAGTTATATAGGTAGGTTCTCTCTAATAGAAGTTCAATGCCATTGTAGACTCTTGGCCTCTCCTTGATCATTTAGTTAAAGAAGGTTAAAATAATAAAGAACACCTCATAGAGAAGGCTGAGTGGTGCCGGGTGCTGGTGGCTCACACCTGTAATCCTAGCTACTCAGGAGGCTGAGATGTGAGGATCGCGGTTCAAAGCCAGCCCGGGCAAGAGAGACCGTGAGACTCCTATCTCCAATAAAAAAAACCACCAGAAAACTGGAAGTGGCGCTGTAGCTCAAGTGGTAGAGCGCTCGCCTTGAGCTGAAGAGCTGAAGAACAGCGCCCAGGCCCAGAGTTCAAGCCCCACGACCGACCAAAAAAAAAAAAAAGAGAAGGCTGAGTGGGGTTTGTATTTTTTTTTGGTGTACAGACCTACAGAGACCTGAAGGATCGTCAGCAGTTGGTTGCATACAGGAGCAAGGTAGACAAAGGATCTGCAGAAGAGGAGAAAATTGATGCCATACTCAGCAGTTCGGTGAGCACTACATTTACCCCTGCCATAGTCCTAGAAGACAGTTAACAAAGTGGCATCGAATGTATCTTTCTAAGACCTGAGCCATTTGGATAAAAGGCTCATCTCAGGGCCAAAATACCAAATGCATTGCTTTGAAGAACAGAAATTACAGAAATTTGTGGGGGAGGGGGAGGTCCGGTCATGGGGCCTGAACTCTGGGCCTGGGCGCTGTCCCTCAGCTCTTTAGCTCAAGGCTAGTGCTCTACCACTTGAGCCACAGTGCCACTTCCGGCTTTTTTCTTTTTGCTTATGTGGTGCTGAGGAATCGAACCCAGGGCCTCATGCATGCAAGGCAAGCAAGCACTCTACCACTGAGCCACCTTCCCAGCCCTGATGCTCTGATCATTAAGCCAAGCAGATAGCAAAAACTACTGGATCTATAAAACAAATATTACAGATTTAGAATATTCAGACCGCATTATCCTGTCTTCTGGGGATGCATGTGAGTTACTGTTGGAAATAAGAAATAGATGGCAAAACCAGAATAAATGCCCTAAATCAGGTATTCTGTAAAATACAGAATAGGTATTTTATCGATCTCTGAGCAAATCAAAATTCCCCACATAGTAAAAATAAATAAATAATCAGGCTGGAAGATTTGGAGGATCATGGTTAAGGCCAGCCTGGGCAAAACTTAAGAGTGACTCGAAGCAAACAATCCAGGTGTGTCCCTGTCATCCATCCCAGCTCTGTGAGAGGCATAAATAAGAAGAGAGTAGTCCAAGGTCAGCCCCAAGCAAAAGTTTAAGAGCATACCCAAGAAAGCAAAAGACAAAAAAGGCTGGATGTAGCCAGGAGCTGGTGGCTCATACCTATAATCCTAGCTACTCAAGAAGTAGAACTGTGACTCGAAGTGGTAGAGCACTAGTCCTGAGCAAAAAAGCTTAGGGATAGCACCCAGACCCTAAGTTCAATCCACAAGACTTACCAAAAAAAAAAAAAAAAGGTCAATATGTAGGTCAAGTAGTAGAACTCCTACCTAGCAAGCCTAAGGCCTTGAATTAAAACCCCAGTACTGCCAAGAAATAAAAAGAAAAGGGAAAGGAAGGAAGGAACTTAGAAGGGGAAGAAGGAAAAAGAGATTTTCAGTACTTCCCCATTCTGATCTTTTGTTTCTCTTTTTATCACATTACCTAGCTGTGAGCCTTGATTTATCTCATTCCTGCTACCTCTGCAGGGAAAAGTGAAGACTCCTCATGCCTTCATTGTTTGCTCTTTCCACAGCAAATTCGATGGAAGAATTAAGTGGTCTTGGCTTCATTGAAACTCACCTCAGTTCTTCCTGTCCTGCCTGTGAAAGTACAAACAACATCACACCCACTTGGACCCTTTATCAACAGGCAATACTTGCTGCTCTTGAGACAGAAACCAGCACCTGGGTGCAGGTAGCTTCCGACTGATCTCTCCAAGGACATCATATAAGAGCCAGTTCCTAACATTCTGATCCATGAGAAAAACACTCCACCAGGTGCTTTTGTGAAGGTGGGAGCCCATAGTGGGTAAGATCTTTCTTGGTCTGAGAAAGTGTCTGCTCTAGAAAGGATGTCTCATAGACTTTAGAGTACAAAAGGAGCCACAGGGTGGCCACTTCATTCCTCTCAGCTAATTATGATCCAGGACCTGGCGCTGGACATTGGCAGTTATGCTCTGAAGGACGTTGGAATAGAACCAAAATGACTGTCTTCCAAGGGCCTAAGGAAGGCATGCCAGAATTGCTCAGCACTACTGGAGACAGATCCAAATCAGACTGCCGAGAGCCTTTGCGTGATGATGGGCACTGCCTAGATGTTGTGTTTCTTCAGCCAATATCTGTCTACTGCTCCAGTCTATTTTGTTCAGAAAGTCAGAGAGCCCCTTCCACCTGCATACGGAGATGACCTGGGCATGAGATAGCCCATATCTCCTCTACTCCTATCTCAGACCCCTACTCTTATATAGAGCTCGGGTTTAGCAGTGCTGGAGCGCTCTTTCTTTAGGCAAAAATCTCATTCACCAGAAGCATTCAGAAGTTTCTCCTGAACTGAAGTTGGTGACACCTCCACTAGGATGTTCACATGCTGACTGAAAAGGATATTCTGTATTGCTAATCTGCCCTGTATCCCTATCAGCCTCTCTTCTGTGACTGAACAGTTTTCTTGACATACTTAGACTCCTAATAAAGCTATTTCATCCTTGGTGCCTTCTCTTCCCCACTTGGTTGTATTGTGTAGTTGTCTGCATCTGTGATTGCTTTCATGGCCTGTCAGCTGAGATCAGGAAGATTGCAGTTTGAGGCTAGCCCAGGCAGAAAAGTTCACAGGACTCTTTCTAACCTATAACTAGAGGCGTGCACCTGACATCCTAAGCTATATGGGAGGCTGAGATTGGGAGGATTGCAGTTCCCAGATAGCCCAGTCTGCAAGACTCCATCTCCATTGAGGGAAACTGGACATGGTGGTGCTTGCCTGTGATCCCAGCAATGACAGCACGCCTAAAGTAGGCAGATCTGTGGTCATGTATGTGCCTGGTGGGAAGCAACACCCTGTCTCAAAGTTGCTCTCAAAGCAGCAGCTTTCTTCAAGCCTGCTAACGTTCTACTCTGCAACATTATATTAGTTTGCCACTTGTCTAATGGGAATCATAACAGTGAGGGCAGGCATCTATTTGTAAAATATTGATTTTTCCCTTCTTGTATATATGCTCAGACATAATTGTGATGGTCTTTTAAAAATATAGAAAATAGAAAATACATTAAATAGACTGACAAACCTCTAAACTAAGTACACAGTGAAAAACAGGACTAGATGTGTTGCTCAGTGGTAGAGTACCTGTTTAGCAAGCATGAGACTCTGAATTCAAACCCTAATACCACACAGGCACAAATGTTGATCATGGACTTCTTGATCACCAAATAAAAGGATTGGGAAAATTAAATAGTGCTAAAGACTAGGCATAGAGTTCATTATAGTAGAGCATTTGCTGAATCCCTGGATTTAGTTCTCAGTACTATATACATAAACACAAAACAGAAACAACTGATTTTTTTTGGTAGTACTAGGGTTTGAATTCAGCTCATGCTTGCTAGACAGGCCCTTTTACCACTTAAGCCATACCACTAAGCAAAAACGCAACTTTTCATCCTACCCATGCCTGAGCCAGAAGGATCCCAAGTCCAACCTGGACAACTTAGTGAGACATCAAAAACTGGAACAGGGCTGAGGATTATCTTGGGGGTAGAGTGCTTACCTAGTACACACAAGGTCCTGAGTTAATTTTTAGTAATACGCACACACACAGAAGAAAAAAGAATCAAATTTGTGTGATAATCTAGATAGAAAAAATAGAAGTCCAGCATCCGCTGTTGGGAAGATACTGGCTTGGTATAGTATAATACTTATATCTTCGTGTTCAGGTCACAAAAATTGTTGGCAGGGCTGGCCCCTTTAAGACTCAGAGTCTGAAGTGATCTAGTAGCTAGAGTCATAATGACAATACTCTTGAGTAATTGTTAGAAATGTAGTCCTTACCTGTCTGGACCAGACTTTCTAAGGAACAGAGCCTATCTCAGTTTGGTTGGTGAAACTGTATGTAGATGGAGTTTATACACCTTAAAAATCTACATGTTCCTGCTCTAGATAAGTGACTAGTGATATTTATTTGGGGCTCTTCTGTCTTGAGGGGAGCACAGAAGGGTAATTTTATTGAAATATTTTTATGTTTTATGTATTCAGGGTATAATTTTACTTTAAAAAATTTTTTTTGATAATTTCATTGATATGAGGTTTTATGTATTCAGTCCTATTTGTAAATTTTAGAGAATGGAAGGGAGAAGAGACTGGCCCAGTAACACCTTTGAAGCCTATTGTTAGTATAAATTCATCTGCTGAAAATAATGTCTGTGGCCTAGAGATATTACTTTGGGTCTGTGTTCAGGTTTTTCATGAATCCAAGATTCATGGGCAGTCAGTGATGTGGACTTGAGATGCAAACAGATATGAACTTGAAAATCTGGAAGCAGAGTGGTAGTGCAGCCCACTAGTATGTGGGCTATGCATATACAGCATCACACATAAGCCCTTCTGCATAGATCATTCTTTGTTCTTCTAAGGAAAGGAGGCAAACTGATTGGTATCTGTCACTGCAGGAGATGCTGTTTTGGAAATGGACATACTAGTGGACCTTGAAACCCTAAATTTTGAGTCTGGCATTCCAGAGGAAGAACGTTTCTGGCTGTATTTGCATAGCCGTTCTCGGGGACTGATAATTGAGGCCTGTGCTCATGCAGTCTTCCTCTGCAAACTATTACGTCAGTTGAGGTAAGCTAGGTCTTCAAGTTCAGGGAGATGACAAGAATCTCATTGCTGAGGACCTAAGTGACTTAACCCTTTTTATACTGGAGGATAAATTTGTCAGGAGAATTGTGTTCCTACCTTTCCAACCCAGAGTGAATGCTCCTGGGTAAAGGGACCAGCAAAATTACACAAACGTCTTTTAGGCTTCACTGAAACATAGATTAGTAATGATTTTCTTTTCTTTTCTTTTGGAGGGGGGCCTGAACTCTGGGCCTGGGTGCTGTCTCTCAGCTCTTCAGTTCAAAGCTAGGGCTCTATCTATCACTAGAGCCACAGCACCACTTCGGCTTTTTCTGCTTATGTGGTACTGAGGAATTGAACCCAGGGCCTCATGCATGCGAGGCAATAACTCTACCACTGAGCCACCTTCCAACCTACCACTGAGCCTAGTAATGATTTTCTTTAAGTAGGTGTACTGATTAAGTGATCATTTGTTTAGTTATTCATGCATTAGGACTACAAGCTTATCTAACGACAATATATCTCTAATCTATTAGGTCAGTTTCTGCCAGGCATTGATGGCCTTTAATCACAGATACTAAGGTGTCTGAGATCTGAGACCATGGTTCAAAGCCAGCCCATACAGGAGAGTCTAAAGGATTCAAATCTTCATTTAATCACTAAAAGCCCAGAAACAGAAGTGTGGTTCAAGTGGTAGAAAACTAGCTTTGAGCAAAACAGCTGAAGGACAGCACCCATGCCCTGAGTTCAAACCCCAGGATCAGCACACAAAAAAGTTACTTTTCTCCTTTCCCATATCACTTAACACACACAAGCACACACATGAATGCATGTGTGTATGCATGCATTTCTTTCTTTTAGGCTTACCTAACAGTGGACTGCTCCATAGGAATAAAAGCCATCTGGAACATAAATCCAGAGACTGTTGCTATCCCTGAAGCCAAATGACTTGACTGAAACTAGGAATACTAATTTACAGATAGGTTCTTAGTCTAATCTTGGTATCTTATGTCACACTATGATGTAGTTTCAACACTTAAATGGATGTATGTGATCTATGTACCTTGAATTAGGCTTATGGATTTGTAACTTAAGATCTGTCCTAGAATATGTCATATTCTCATTCAGTTTATCTTTCTCTGAAATTTGATTAACTTAGGTTGTAGGACCAGATTGGAATTGACCATATTTATAGGTACACTTATACCCAAGAATGCAGTCTACTCAATAGTTTGCTGATTTATTTAATGATTAGGATGTATATATATTGGTTGTAGCCTAGATGACTAATAAACCCTCATATGAAACTTCCAGGAGGCATTTTATATTTAGGAGGATCAAGGACTAAAAGAAAGTGTTTTCTTTTCTTTTTTTTTTCTTGCCAGTCTTGGGACTTGAACTCAGGGCCTGGGCTCCCTGAGCTTCTTTTTGCTCAAGGCTAGCACTCTACCACTACAGCCATAGTGCCACTTCCAGCTTTTTCCATTTACGTGGAACGGAACCTAGGGCTTATGCTTGCTAAGCAAGCACTCTACCACTAAGCCACATTCCCACCCGTTGTGTTTTCTTTTCAACCAGGAGAGAAACTTGTGACACTAGAGAACAAGAGATCATAGGCTCCTACAAAAGATAAGGGCAAATTCCACAAGGGAATTTATAAAAACAAGCCTAGGGAAGACACATATGGCGCTGTGGCTCAAGTGGTAGAGTACTAGCCTTGAGCTGAAGAGCTGAGGGACAGCGCTCAGGCCCAGAGTTCAGACCCCACGACCGGACCCCCCCCCCCAAAAAAAAATGAAATGAAAGCAGGTGCTGATGGCTCATGCCTGTAATCCTAGCTACCCAGGAGGTTGAGATGTAGGGATTGTGGTTCAAAGCTAGCCTGGGGAGGAAAGTCAGTGAGATACTTAACCTGCAGTTAACCACCAAAAACACCAAATGAAGCTGTGGTTCAAGTGGTAGAGCAGTAACCTTGAGCAAAAATGCTTAGGGACAGCTCTGAGACCCTGAATTCAAGCCTAGGACTAGTACACACATAAACAAACTGAAACAATGTTAGATAGCAATGAAAATATACAAAATATAAATAGAGTCATAGGTAAATCTACACTATAAAGAGTGGAGAATGACTCATTTTAAACTCTATTTTAAAAGATAAAATATGAAAAATAACTATAAAACCATTAATAGGTATAAATACAAAAATATGTGATATATAACATCAATAACAAAGGGGTGGGAGATGTAAAGGAATAGAGTGTGTGATTAAAACAAGGCTATAAGGCTTCCGCCCGAGGCGGCGCGCGCGGCGCCAGTGCGGAGGAGCAGGCCGCGCGGGGCGGGCGGTCGGGAGGGGCCGGCAGCCCGGCCTCCCGCGGGGTCCGGGGTGGCGCGGGGCGCGTGGACCAGCGTGGCAGGCTAGAGGCCCTCGGGTGACCCGGGCCCCACGGCGACGGCGGCGGCGCTTGCGCGGGGATCCAGGTCAGTTTGCCCCGAGGTCTGTATGTGCTGGAGAAGTCCTACTTACCCTGGTGTCTGGAAATGTCAATGCTTTGGCCTAGACCTTCCAGGTCCGTTTGGTTTTTTTTTTTTTGTCAGTTGTGGGGCCTGAACTCTGAGCCTGGGCGCTGTCTCTCAGCTCAAGGCTAGCACTCTACCATTTGAGCCACAGCGCCACTTCTGGCTTTTTTTGCTTATGTGATGCTGAGGAATTGAACCCAGGGCCTCATGCATGCAAGGCAAGCACTACCACTGAACCACCTTCCCAGCCCTGTCTGGTTTAATTCTTACCCACATGCTTTTTTATAAATAAACAGAATCTAACCCTAAAAATAAAATAAAATAAAATAAGGCTATAAATAAATAAAGTTTAAGATAGGTAACTATAGCCATAAGATTTTTTAATGTTCCCTATGATAACCATAAAGAAAATAATTATGGAAAAATACTAGTAAAAATATAAGGGGATCAGAACTCAGGAAGTTGAGATCTGAGGATTGTGGTTTGAAGCCAGCCTGGGCAGAAGAGTCTGTGAGACTCATCTCCAATTAACCACCAGAAAACTGCAAGTGGCATTGTGGCTCAAAGTGGCAGAACATCTATCTATATTTCTTTTTTGGTCAGTTGTAGGACTTGAACTCAGTGCCTAAGCACTGTCCCTGAGCTCTTTCGTTCAAGGCTAGTGCTCTATCACTACATCTATATCTATATCTATATCTATCTACCTCTCTATCTATCCATCTATCTTACTGGACCAAACATCACAGAACACCACCAACACATAAAGGAAGATAGCTAGAGAACAAAAGAAAGTACAACTACAAGACATATAGAAAGCAATAAACAAATTGGCAAAAGTAACTCCTTCCTGACAATTACTTTATTATTAAAAAATTATTGCCGGAGGCTGGTAAGGTGGCTAAGTGGTAGAGTGCTTGCCTTGCATGCATGAGACCCTGGGTTCGATTCCTCAGTACCACATAAGCAGAAAAAGCTAGGAGTGGCGCTGTGGCTCAAGTGGTAGAGCGCTAGCCTTGAGCTGAAGAGCTGAGGGACAGCGCCCAGGCCCAGAGTTCAGGCCCCACAGCCAAAAAACAAACAAAAATTATTGCCAGGCACCAGTGGCTCATGTCTATAATCCCAGCTACTCAAGAGGCTGAGATCTGAGGATCACAGTTCAAAGCCAGCCCGGGCAGGAAAGTCCATGAGACTCTTATCTCCAATAAACCACTACAAAATCGAAAGTGTCACTGTAGCTCAAGCAGTTGAGCACTCGTCTTGAGCTGGAGGGCTAAGGGATAGTGCCCAAACCCAGAGTTCAAGCCCCATGATCGGAAAAAAAAATTTGGCCAGGCGCCATTGGCTCATGCCTATAAAATCCTAGCTACTCAGGAAGCTGAGATCTGACGATCACAGTTCAAAGCTAGCCCAAGCAGAAAAGTCTGTGAGACTCTTAACTCCAGTAAACTACTTAGAAAAAGCCACAAGTGGCGCTGTGGCTCTAGTGGTAGAGTGCTAGCCTTGAGTACAAAGAGGCTCAGGGATAGCACCCAGGCCCTGCCAGGACCAGCAAAACAAAACAAAAATGAAAATGAGTGCTGGGAATGTGGCTTAGTGTAGAGTGCTTGCCTAGCACGCATGAAGCCCTGGATTCCATTCCGTAGTACCATATAAAGAGAAAAAGCAGGAAGTAGTGCTGTTGCTCAAGTGGTAGAGTGCTAGCCTTGGCAGGGACAGCGCCCAGCCCCATGACCAACCCCCCAAAAAATGCAAATGATTAATTTCCCCAATCAAAACACAGAATGACTGACTATATTAAGAAATCCAATTATGGGGAGGGGGTGGGGGGAGGAAGCGATAGGAAAGGGAAACAAAGGAGGAGGCTACAATGCTTGAGAAGAAATGTACTCTGGGGCTAGGAAGGTGGCTCAGTGGTAGAGCGCTTGCCTTGCATGCATGAGGCCCTGGGTTCGATTCCTCAGCACCACATAAGCAGAAAAAAAAAGCTGGAAGTGGCGCTGTGGCTCAAGTGGTAGAGTGCTAGCCTTGAGCTAAAGAGCTGAGGGGCAGCGCCCAGACCCAGAGTTCAGGTCCCACGGCCGGACCCCCCCCACACAAAAAAAAAAAGAAATGTACTCATTATCTTGCCCATGTAATTGTAACCCATCTGTACAATATTTTCACAATAAATAAAAAAAATCTAATTATATACTGTCTACTAGGGACTCAGTTTAGATCTAAGGGCAAGACTAAAAAAGGATAGAAAAAGATATTTCATTTCATGCAAATGGCAAGCAAAAGAGAGCAGGAGGTCTGTTTCATACTTGTTTCATGTAACACTTGAAGATAAAAACTGCCATAAATAGTGATATAAAAATAATGATTATTTTGTCAGTAAGGTATAACATATATGCTCTTAATGTTACTGAATTATAGGAAGCAAATATTGATCAAATTGAATATACTCAATAATAATAGGTACTTCAACATTTGAATAGACTATTAGAAGGTGTGGTCTGGTGGGAGAAGGGCACTGGGGGACATGTCTTTGAAGGTCATCTCTTACCCTGTCCTTTTCCTCCTTTCTCTCTGATTCCTGATCACCATGAGGTCAAGAATGTCCTCCAAGGGGCTGGGAAGTTGGCTCAGTGGTAGAGTGCTTGCCTTGCATGCATGAGGCCCTGGGTTCGATTCCTCAGCACCACATAAGCAGAAAAAGCCAGAAGTGGCACTGTGGCTCAAGTGGTAGAGTGCTAGCCTTGAGCTGAAGAGCTGAGGGACAGCGCCCAGGCCCAGAACTCAGGCCCCATGACTGGCAAAAAAAAAAAAGAAAATCAATCAATGTAATAATACGTTACATTAACAAAACAAAAGAGAGAAATCACATTTCAGTTACTGTATAAAAAGCATTTGACAAGCTGAACACTGGTGGCTTATGCTTGTTATCCTAGCTACTCTGGAGATGGCAGTGTGAAGCCAGCCCAGACAGCTTTTATCGCCAATTAAACTCTCCCACTTTCCCCCCCCACACACACACACCAGCCAAAAAAATCCAGAAGTAGAGCTGTGGTTCACATAGTAGAGACTAGCCTTCAGTAAAAAATTAGCTCAGGATAGCACCAAGGCCCTGAATTTAAGCCCCAGGACCAGCACACACACCACACACTCACACACACACACACACACACACACACACACACACACACACACACAAGCAGTATTTGACAAAAGTCAAACTGTCTCTAATGATGAGAACACTCAACAAACTAGGAATAATGGGAAATTACCTCACTAGAATAAAGGCCATAAATAAAAAGTTCAAACTAACATCACACTCAGTGGTGAAAAACTGAAAGCTTCACACCAGGCACCAGCGGCTCAACCCTGTGACCCTAGCTACTTAGGAGGCTGAGACCTGAGGGCTGTGGTTCAGAGCCAGCCCAGGCAGGAAAGTCCATGAGACAATAAATAACCACAAAATTGGAAGTGGCACTGTGGCTCAAGTGGTAGAGTGTTCTCGTTGAGCTGAAGAGCCGAGGGACAGTGCCCAGGCCAAGAGTTCAAGACCCATGACTGGAAAAAAAAAAAACACCAAAAACTGAAAGTTTCCATTCAACTCAGTACTTAAACTCAGCAATTAAACAAGACAAAAAATAAATACATCAAACTGAAAAAGGAATAGTGAATAGTCAATGATCTCTTCTCACAATGACATGATGTTATATATAGAAACCCTAAAGACTACACAAAAATTAGAACAGTGAATAGTCAATGATCTCTTCTCACAATGACATGATGTTATATATAGAAACCCTAAAGACTACACAAAAATTAGAACTGGAAAACATTCATCCAACCTGAAGGACATAGGACACTGGCAGTCAAAAACAGTTAGACCTATGTATTCAACAATGAATTGTCTGAAAACAAATCCAGCTGGGGGTGTAACTTAGTGGTAGATGCATGCTTGAAAGATGAGTGGAGAAAGGAGGAGAAGGAAAGAGATTTTTATTTCATTTTAGTATCAAACAACAAAATTCATAGTAATAAACTTAATCAAGGCAATGAAAGATGTGCACTGACAACTACAAAAAAAATTAAGAAGACAGAAATGAATGGAAAGACATCTCCTGTTGATGGATTAGAAAACTTAATGTTAAAATGTTCATACTAGCTGGAAGCCGGTAGCTTACACCTGTAATCCTAGCTACTCAGTAGGCTGAGATCTGAGGATCATGGTTTAGAGCCAACTATGAGACTTTTATCTCCAATTAACCACCAGAAAACCAGAAATGGCTTTGTGGCTCAAGTGGTAGAGTGCTCACCTTGAGCTAAAGAGCTGAGGGACAGTACCTGGGCCCAGAGATTCAAGCCCCATGACCGACAAAAAAAAAAGGTTCAGACTACCCAAATGTCATCTTTACAAAAATCCAAAAATTCATATGGGGTCTATATTCTGTAAGAATAGCCAAAGCAGGGGCTGGGAAGGTGGCTCAGTTGTAGAGTGCTTGCCTCGCATGCATGAGGCCCTGGGTTTGATTCCTCAGCACCACATAAGCAGAAAAAGCCAGAAGTGGCGCTATGGTTCAGGTGGTAGAGCGCTAGCCCTGAGCAAGAAAGCAGCTCAGGGACAATGCCCAGGCCCTGAGTCCAAGCCCCAGGAATTTCAAATTACAATAATTTTTTTTTTTTAAATCGGTCATGGAGCTGGATGCTGTCCCTGAGCTCTTCAGCTCAAGGCTAGTGCTCTACCACTTGAGTCATAGTGCTACTTCCAGCTTTTTCTGCTTATGTAGTACAAAGGAATCGAACCCAGGGCCTCATGCATGCAAGGCAAGCACTGTACCGCTGAGCCACCTTCCCAGCCTACAATAAAAATTTTTTAAAATGTATTAAAAAAAAAAGAATAGACAAAGCAATCTTTTTTTTTGTTGTTGTTGGTTGTGGGGCTTGATCTCTGGGCCTGGGCACTGTCCTTCACTTCTTCAGCTCAAGGCTAGTGCTCTACCACTTGAGCCACTGCACCACTTCTGGTTTTCTGAATGGTTTATTGGAGATAAGAGTCTCACGGACTTTTCCTGCATGGGCTGGCTTTGAACCATGATCATCATATCTCAGCTCTTGAGTAGCTAGGATTACAGGCATGAGCTACCAGTTCCCAGCAGCCAAGGCAATCTTGAGAAAGAAAAACATGGAGGTCTCATATTTCATTTCCAAGCATAAAACCAAGCTTGGTACTTTTATAAAGATGGCTATATAAACCAATGAAAGAATAAAGAAAATCAGACCTTTACATATATAGTTAAATGATTTTCAACAAGGATGGTAAAGCTGTACAATAGAGAAAGGATAATTTTTTCAGCAAGCTTTGGGAAAACTACATACAAACTACATGCAAACATTAACTCAAAATGGATTAAAGATGTAGGACTATAAAAGTTCTAGAGAGAAACATGGGGGGAAGCTTCATGACTTTGGATTTGGCACTGATTTTATTAATATATCAAAAACAAGCCACAGAAGTAAAAAATACACAAATGGGACCACATGACAAGGAAACAAGAGTAAAAAGATAACCGGTGGACTGAAAGAAAATATTTGTGTTGATTTGTATTGAAAAAATGTCAATTTGGCAGGGCGCCGATGGCTCACACCTGTAATCCTAGCTACTCAGGAGGCTGAGATCCTGAGGATCACGGTTCAAAGCCAGTCCAAGCAGATAAGTCCATGAGACTCTTATCTCCAATAAACCACTAGAAAACCAGAAGTGGTGCTATGGCTCAAGCAGTAGAGCACTCACCTTGAGCTGCAGAGTGCAGGGACAGTACCCAAGCCCAGAGTTCAAGCTCCACTACTGACAAAAAAATAAATAGTCAATTTAAATATATATAAACATATTTATATGCCTTTTTTTTTTTTGGTCCAGTCGTGTGGCCTGAACTCTGGGTCTGGGCGCTGTCCCTCAGCTGTTCAGCTCAAGGCTAGTGCTCTACCACTTAAGCCACAGTGCCACTTCTGGCTTTTTCAGCTTATGTGGTACTGAGGAATGGAACCCAGGGCCTCATGCATGCAAGGCAAGCACTCTACCACTGAGCCATGTTCCCAGTCTCAATGCATTTTATATAGTATAAAATTTATATATTAATATAATGCTATATTTATATATTATATATTATGTGTATAAAATATATACTATATAAAATAAATACACATTTTTTGTGTCCTAGGCCTAGAGCTTGAACTCAGGGCCTGGACACTGTCTCTGAGATTTTTTGCTCAAGCCATGGTTCCACTTCTGGCTTTTAGGTCGTTAACTGGAAATGAGTCTCACGGACTTTCCTGACCAGGCTGGCTCTGACCAGCTATCTTCAGGTCTTAGCCTCCTGAGTAACTAGGAATACAGGTGTGAGATACCAGCGCCTGGCTTAAAAATATTTTAATGAAGTTTGGTCCCTCAAAAAGGAATGTGGGGGGGCTGGGAAGGTGGCTCAGTGGCAGAGTGCTTCCTTTGCATGCTTGAGGCCCTGGGTTTGATTCCTCAGCACCACATAAGCAGAAAAAGCTGGAAGTGGTGCTGTGGCTCAAGTGGTAGAGTGCTAGCCTTGAGCTGAAGAGCAGAGGGACAGCACCCAGACCCAGAGTTCAACCCCCATGACCAAAAAAAAAAAAAAAAAAAGGAATGTGTGGGCTGTCAATGTGGCTTGGTGGCAGAGTGCTTGCCTAGTAGCATGCATGAAGCCCTGGGTTCGATTCCTCAGCACCACCTAAACAGAAAAAGTTGGAAGTGGTGAGTGCCACTCTACCACTCTAGTGGTAGAGTGCTAGCCTTGAGTAAAAGCAGCTCAGGGACAAGCCCAGGTCCTGAGTTCAAGCACTAGGACTAGAAAGAAAAAAAAGGAATGTGCTTTAATTTTTGGAACTCATTTAGGAAAAACATTTCATTCTCTTAGAAGCTGAACAAATGACATACACTTGAAACGCCTGATCTTCAAAGGAGTATTAAGGCGCCCCCAGGCTTTCATTTGAAAATCTTACTGCCAAGAACTTGTAAAGATCTACAGTATGTTCCCACATTAATTTATGTGTCTGTTCATTGTCTAGCATAAATTTGGCAAAGTATGAACCTGCCTCAGTAGAGCCATCTGATTCTGCTAGCAGTGAACACAATTTGAGGGTGGGAATCATTGGAGGTGGCCGCCTTGGGAAGCAGCTGGCTTGTTCACTGCTGAAGCTTGTCCCCATCCCTGCAGAGAACCTTCGGATATCCACACGGAGGCCAGACGTCTTGGGTGAGGAGTGGGGTCTGTTAATAAGGGGGCTTAGTTGTGCTGGTAGATGTTCACAAAGCCATTTTGAAATGGTTCCTTCAAAGGGGAATCCTTGTGTGGAGTTCTCACACTGCTTGCTCTGAGGGAAGCTAGAAAGACAGATTTTAAACTTATACTTCGGGGCTGGGAAGGTGGCTCAGTGGTAGAGCGCTTGCCTTGAATGCATGAGGCCCTGGGTTCGATTCCTCAGAACCACATAAGCAAAAAGAAAAAAGCTGGAAGTGGCATTGTGGCTCAAGTGGTAGAGCACTAGCCTTGAGCTGAAGAGCTGAGGGACAGTGCCCAGGCTCAGAGTTCAGGCCCCACAACCGGACCCCCCAAAAAAACAAAAAACTTATGCTTCAACAACTTTTTACTCCCATTATGTTTTCCTACACATTGCTCCTCCTCTTTTGTCATAAACAGAAGCTTTCCATACAGATTTCAAATACAATCAGACCAGGTGTATGTGGGGGATGGGAAGGTGGCTCAGTGGTAGAGCGCTTGCCTTGCAATGCATGAGGCCCTGGGTTTGATTCCTCAGCACCAAATAAGCAAAAAGAAAAAAGCCAGAAATGGCGCTGTGGCTCAAGTGGTAGAGCGCTAGCCTTGAGCAGAAGAGCTGAGGGACAGCGCCCAGGCCCAGAGTTTAGGCCCCACAACTGGACTCCCCCCCCCAAAAAAAAAGAAATCTGGTGTGTGTTAAAACAAGTTGCAAATATTTGCATCAGAATATATATATATATATATATGTATACATTTAAAATAATGACTGAATTTCAAAAAACTTTTCTGTTGATTCTATTTACTTATCTATGTGATAGAAATAAGGACAATGATGACTTCTAGAAAGACAGACTGAGAAGAGGCTGAAAATAACTTTCTAAGGAAGGAAATGTTTTATATATGGGTTTTGTGGAGATAAGCATTTGTCAAAACTATTGAAATTATATATTTCTCATCCCTGTGTGGCACTGTATATGCATGCAAAAAATATACATATTGTAGAAAAATCTCTCTGAAAGAGTGTACTGACAACTTATAGTCTTCATAGCAGGGTTATCAGTTTCTTCCTATTTCTTCCCCATCAGTCATGGATACTGTACCTACTTGTTTGTATCCTGCTATTTTTCACTTAATAAATAACTTAACATTCTTCAAAGAATGTCCTTCCACTGTCCCATGGGTGGTCTCTGAGAACATTGCATGGGTCTTCCAGGAAGGCTGTGTGCACACCTGACTGGCAATGCTGATAATGTGTGTGCTACACCAGGCAATGGACAGAAGGGACAGCTACTCTGCACCATTCTCCCTTTCTCTGATTTCTTAGGATTGAAAGTTGGTTTTAATGTAAAAATGACTTTAAGATTCTGTAGATGACAAAGTATGGATGTGCCATCATTTCTATAGCTCGTGGAATTTTCTTGTACATAGCTTCCAAAATTACTAGGTTAACAAATAGATTCAGGTGTGTCAAAACATTATTGATTAATAATAAATTGTACTTAAAGTGTACAATTGGATTGCATTTTGTGCTTGTCCTAGGTCCTGACACTGTTCCTGAGCTTTTGTGCTCAAGGCTAGTGCTCCACTTCTGGCTCTTTTTGCTGGTTAATTGGATATAAGACTTTCCTACTGAGCCTGGCTTTGAATCACAATCCTCAGATCTCCATCTCCTAAGTATTTAGGATTATAGGCTTGAATCACTGGTGCCTGGCTACAATTTGATATTTTGATCCAGGTGCACACCTGCAAAACCAACACAATCAAGATAATAACACACTCATCACCTCAGAAGTTGCTTCTTGTCTTTCTGAGCCTGTCTCTCTAGCTCCCTGAAGCTCTTTGCCAAAAAACCAGTGGCAATGGTTTCTGTCACCGTAGATTAGTTTGTATTAAGTAGAATTTTATATTTTTACAAGTAACAAATCTACACCACACAAGTTTTTAATATACATTTTAGTTGTTTTAACAGTATTACTTTTGAGCAGACTTTAAATAAATACACAAAAAGTTAGCACATTATAAAAAAAATATACAAAGCAAAACAACCAGCATTTAGATGGTCAGTAGCACGCATACAGAGGTAGTCTGGTTAGTGTTATTACTGGTACCTTGCCTATTTAACAGTTCAACAATATCAGTTATTTTGCTCCTAATTCCCCCATAGTTCTCCAAAATCAGCCTATACATGCATACAGAATGGACTTTCCTTTAAAGTTACATGCATTAAGTAGAATTGTATACTGATGGAGTCACATGAGGTTTTTGACCTGACTTCTTTCACTTTGCATAAATATTGTGAGCTATAGCTATGTCCTTTAGGTATCAATATCTTTTAAATTTCTGAATAGTATTTCATTGAATAAATATACCCCACATATTATTCATCTAAAATATTGGTTGTTTTCTAGCTCTTGGCTATTACAAATAAAACTACTATGTATATTTGTATAAAAGTGTTCATGTGGGCATCTACTTTTATTTTTCTTGGGCAAATACCTGGTAATGAAATGACTGGGTCTAGTAGTAGGTATGTGTTTACTTTTTGGGGGGTGGGGGGACAGGTATTGAGGTTTGAATTCAGGGCCTTGTACTCTGGCATGGCTTTTTTCCTCAAGGCTGGTGCTCTGACACTTGAGCCACAATTCCTCTTCTGGCTTTTTGCTGGTTAATTGGAGATAAGAGTCTCATGGACTTTTCTGCCCATACTGGCTTCAAGCCACATCCTTCAGATATCAGACTTCTTTTTTTTTTTTTTTTTTTGAGTCTGGTCGTGGGGCCTGAACTCTGGGCCCTGGGCACTGTCCCTCAGCTCTTCAGCTCAAGGCTAGCACTCTACTACTTGAGCCACAGTGCCACTTCCGGCTTTTTTCTTTTTGCTTATGTGGTGCTGAGGAATCGAACCCAGGGCCTCATGCATGCAAGGCAAGCGCTCTACCACTGAGCCACCTTCCCAGCTGAAGATAACAGACTTCTGAGTAACTAGGATTACAAGTGTGAGTCACTAGTATCTGGCTAGGTATTTATTTATTTGTTTATTTATTTTGGTGTCAGTCCTAGGGCTTGAACTCAGGGCCTGGCCACTGTCCCTGAGCTTTCTTGCTAAAGGCTAGCACTCTACTGCTTGAGGCACTTCTGGGTTTTTCGGTGGTTAACTGGAGATGCATGTCTCATGGACCTTCCTGCCCAGGCTGGCTTTTTTTTTTTTTTTTTGGGTCCGGTCCTGGGGCCTGAACTCTGGGCCTGGGCACTGTCCCTCAGCTCTTCAGCTCAAGGCTAGCGCTCTACCACTGGAGCCACAGCGCCACTTCCGGCTATTTTCTTTTTGCTTATGTGGTGCTGAGGAATCGAACCTAGGGCCTCATGCATGCAAGGCAAGCACTCTACCACTGAGCCATCTTCCCAGCCCCCATATGTTTTCTTTTAAAAGAAAAGTTCTGGCTGGGACACTGGTGGCTCACATCTATAATTCTAGCTATTTAGGAGGCTGAAATCTGAGGATCGTGGTTCAAAGCCAGCCTGGGCAAGAAAGTCCATGAGACTTTTTTTTTTGGGGGGGGGGTCTGGCCTGGGCGCTGTCCCTCAGCTCGTCAGCTCAAGGCTAGCGCTTTACCACTTGAGCCACAGCGCACGCACTTCCGGCTTTTTTCTTTTTTCTTATGTGGTGCTGAGGAATCGAACCCAGGGCCTCAAGCATGCAAGGCAAGCGCTCTACCACTGAGCCACCTTCCCAGCCCTCCATGAAACTCTTATCTCCAATTAACCACCAGGAAACCAGAAGTGGCACTGTGGCTCAAGTGGTAGAGTGCTAGCCTTGAGCTGAAGAGCTCAGAGACAGCACCCAGGCCCAGATCAAGCCCCACGACTGACAGCCCCATGACTGACAAAAAAAAAAAAAAGTCTCACAGAGTTTCCTGCCCAGGGTAGCTTTGAACAACAATCAGATCTTAGCCACCTAAGTAGCTAGGGTTAAAGAAATGAACCAGCAGCCTTTAGAAATCATTAACATTACCATTTTAATATGTCTTGTATAAAATTTTCTTATTTTACTGATTTTAATCTCTAGAAAAGTTACCTTTTCTCCATAGGTTTAATGCTATTTCATCTGTGAGTTGCTTTTGTTCTTTTATTCTTTTTGTGAGGGTGCCTATATTTTTCTTACTCATCTCTGTGTATTTTTTTTTAATACGATGGAAACTTTAGAAAGTCTTACCACTAAAAAAAAAAAAAAAAAAAGAAAGTCTTACCACTCAAGAACCTCACTAAGTAGGGCTGGTATGCATAGTAACTCAATGCAGTATATAGTCTTTGGGGGAGTAATGTGTTTATTAGAAGTGAAATTTCAGTTTTAAACTATTTGTATTATAGAAGGAGACAAGAATTCCAGAGGCTTATCTGAGTGGGCCACCTATTTTTCTCCTATCCATCTTCAAGTTTATAAAGATGCAGAAAATCTCAACATAACTTCTACCATGCACTTGGTCATTAAGATATGTCTGTTAGGGGCTGGGAAGGTGGCCCAGTGGTAGACTGCTTGCCTTGCATGCATGAGGCCCTGGGTTCAATTCCTTAGCACCACAAAAGCAGAAAAAGAACAGAAGTGGTGCTATGGCTCAAGTGGTAGAGTGCTAACCTACCTGGGACAGTACCCAGACCCAGATTTCAGGTCCTACGACTGACCCCCCCGCCCCCCGAAAAAATATATATACATATATCTGTTATCTGTTTTTTCAATAACACTTTGAGGGGCTGGGAATATAGCTTAGTGGCAGAGTGCCTAGCTTGCATGAAGCCATTCGATTCCCTACTAGCAATCACATAATCAGAAAAAGCCGGAAGTGGCCCCGTGGCTCAAGTGGTAGAATGCTAGCCTTGAGCAAAAGAAGATCAGAGACAATGCCCAAGCCCTGAGTTCAAGCTCCAGGACTGGCAAAAAAAAAAAAAAAAAGACAAAATCAGTAACACTTTGAACATACTACCGCACATGAGTGTGAATTTTGAATTCTTTCTTTTGATAATCCATTCTGCAATGAATACAACCATAGGATTAACTTACTAGGAATGTTTTTCAGGTAACTACATGTTACTACATCTCTCTACACATAAATATCCTATTACCATTAAGCTGTGTATACTATGTAGAAACAGTTCCTTCTTTCCAAACACCTTCCAGCCTCTGCTCTCTTCAATGTTAACTACCCACCAAAGTCAAGAGCTGTATTATGTTGGGCAAATCACATAGCTTCCTGAAGCTTCAGTTTCCTTGCGTATATACTATGGGAGTGTGGAGATATAATAGTAGTCTCTGTCTAAGAAAGTCCATGTGAGGTTTACCTCAAATAATATACATATGTAACATACAACGACACATGATGAGCCTTTGGCAAATTGAAGCAAAAAGACTCTTAGAGAATACTTTCTTCCTTAAAAACATTCCAGGATTGGCCTGAAGGTAAGAGAAAGATGACTCATTTCAATCACTGTTGCAATGACACCACCTACTTTGGTAATGGGATTAGGGCATTGCAGCATAACTCATAGAAGGCATATAGGATGATCTCTCTGATTTATGTAGCAACAAGACTTGGGTTGCTTCCTGAGATTGATCTTCTCTCCAATCTGATGCTCAGGTTCAACTCCTTTGTCTGCTCTTTCTGTCTTCCTTTATCCTTTCCAGATGTTATCAAGAAAGAGGGAATCCAGTGCTTTTACCATAACCCTCACCTGGCGGGCTGGGCCAACATGCTATTCCTCTGTTGCTTGCCATCTCAGTTGCCTAATATCTGCTTAGAAATTCAAGGAAGTATTGAGAAGAACTGCCTCGTGCAAAGCTTTGCATCTGCTATCCCATTGCCCAGGTATCTTGTGGGGACAAGAACAGGCCAGGCAGAACTGCTGCCTCTTCTCTGCTCTCTGCTATTCACCTTCACCATACGCCCTACTTCATGGGAGTTGATACGTCCTCAGAAATAGAGAGGAAGCAGTTTGATCTGTAAAGGACTCGGCCAACTTTTCTAATTATGTCTCTCCCAATTTAAAGCACTTGTGGGTGGGATATTTTCTTGGCTGTACAAATATGTACAACTATCATATGTTGTCACCCACTACCTGAAGCTAAACATTATTCCTTTGTTCATCAGGGAAAAAGGAAAACACCACAGTCAATCACATAAAACATTACTGAAGGTAGTAATGGAGAATTGCTGCATAGTAAATTATTTTTGTACTTAATGTCTAGCCCTGTATCTGACACATAACTTTTCATGTAAGCGCTTGTTAAGTAGATAGATCCAACTCATTAATGCTCTCTGTGTAGACCCAGACCTATATTTGTCTGAGCAGGGCTGTGTATCACAATCTGTTGCTGGGCTTGGATATGAATAGAAATCCATTCCTGGCACTGCTACTCCCTATCTTGTTTGGCTTCCAGATTGAGACTACTACTGAACAACCACACCAATCTCTTACGGCCTGTGTATCACTGTGTTGAGGATACTGACCATATCTGGGGAGCCAATAAGGATATTGCAACTGCGCTCCAAGATCCCGTGATTCTTCAAGCTACCTCCCCATTCAGTTCCAGAGGTAATGCATTGTTCACCATATTTCTGCATTCTTTTTTTTTTTTTTTTTCTTGTCAGTCATGAGGCCTGAACTCTGGGCCGGGGGGCTGTCCCTCAGCTCTTCAGCTCAAGGCTAGCGTTCTACCACTTAAGCCACAGTGCCACTTCCAGCTTTTTCTGCTTATGTGGTGCTGAGGAATCGAACCCAGGGCTTCATGCATGCAAGGCAAGCTCTCTACCACTGAGCCACCTTCTCAGCCCACATCTGGCATTCTTCTGAACACGACCTTATCCTCAGCCTATTGCTTATATTAAGTTTGTGTGTGCCATGTATGTGTTTGAAACAAGTAGTCATTTAGTTTAGTAGTGAAAATGTTTGGTGATGACAAATAACCCTTATTAGCAAGATTGATTATTTGGATTCTTATGCATGAATTGGAAACAACTAGATGAAACTGCCATTTAAAATAGGACTAAAATGGCTTTTCCCTGTTCTAATCTTGCAGTTTTTCCCAGTAATTCCCCCTTATTGGCAGGGATCATTCTGGAGAACTTTGGGGGGGGGGGTTAGGGGAGAGGGTAGTACTAAGGTTTGAACTCAGTCTTGTGTTTATAAAGCAATTGTTCTCCACTTGAATCGTGCTCCCAGCCCTTTTTGCTTTTTAGATAGGATCTCATGCTTTTGCTTGGGGCTAGCCTCAAACTTCCATCCTCAGACCTCTGCCTCTTGTACGTCTAGGATTACAGATATGTATTGCCACACCCAGTCTATTTTTATTTTTCAGATAGGGATATTTTTTTTGCCCAGGCTGGCTTAAAACCATAATTCTCACATCTTTATTTACTGCTTAGCTGGAATCACAGGCATGTTCCATTTTGGATATGTTTTTGCCATTAGCAATCTACATTTGTTCCTGTCTGCCTCCTTTAGTATAATCAATACATTATATATTATAAAGGGTAGATGAAGCTCTTAGCCTCAGAGGGAGGAGTGTTCACTCATTTCAAGGTCTACATTATTAGCCTGTATTGGAAAATGGTGGCTTCTATAGTTACTGTCTGGGGTCTTAGGTTCCTGCAGCACATTTTTAGTAACGTTATTCTGTTCCCTCTCATTGATGTATAGGGGGAATAAACCTCAATATTAAATGGTTGGAGGGAGTATTGTATGCAATCCTAAATGTCTGCACTTCAAGAAGCATTTTCTACCCAAAAGCACTGGAGATGCTGAACAGACTATTTTTCATTACTCAGTCTGAAGACTCAGCTTGTCCACGTTTCCAGCTAGAACATTTTGTCAACCAAATCTATGTCAGGAACTTGTTTCACAGAAGGTAAGAGGTCAGATAGCAGATGCTTTCCCCCCTCTTTTTCCTTTCATGCGCCATGTTCAGTTTCTCTCTTCTCTCTCCCCCTCTCTCTCTCTCTCTCATGAATGCGCGTGCTCTTTCCTGGATTGGGTATTGAATGCAGGGCTTCTTGCTTGGTAGGCAGGCATTCTAACACTTGACTATGCCTCCAGTCCCCTTCTGTTTCTGTCTCTTTCCACACCTTTCCTTTTTCCCTGAGACAATTTCTCAGTATGTATTCAGACTGGCCTTGAACTTGTGATCGTGAGTGCTGTGAGATTGTAGGCATACACCATCATACTTAGCTCATGTTCTATTTTAAAATTGATAAATGTGCTTCTATAAAAATCCAACCAGCTGGTACCAAAGGTTCATGTCTGTTCACATCTGCAATCCTAGCTACTTAGGAAGTTGAGATCTGAGGATCGAGGTTTGAAGTCAGCTCGGGCAGGAAAAGTCTGGGAGATTCTCTATCTCTGATCATTTACTTTAAAGATTTTTTTTTTTTGGGTCCGGTTGTGGGGTCTGAACTCTGGGCCTGGGCACTGTCCCTCAGCTCTTCAGCCCAAGGCTAGCACTCTACCATTTGAGCCACAGCACCACTTCCGGCTTTTTTTCATTTTGCTTATGTGGTGCTGAGAAATCGAACCCAGGGCCTCAGGCATGCAAGGCAAGCGCTCTACCACTGAGCCATCTTCCCAGCCCTGATCATTTACTTTAAAAAGCCTGGAAGTGGAGCTGTGACTCAGTGGTAGAATATTATCTTTGAGCAAAAGCTCAAGGACAGCTTCCAAGCCCTGAGTTTAAGCCCTAAGATGGGCGCACACACAAAAAAATCCAGCCAATGGAAAAGCAAAAGCTCTTTTGCCTCCTATATCTTATTTCATAGGTTTTATCTTTTACAGTTTTTATATTTGTGTCATTTTATGGAGTTATTTGCATACATTATCATGTATGTTCATATCCTACATAGAGTTAGAAATGAAAAACTACATGTAATGCCATTTTCTGTTAGTACAGTCATATCTGCTTCATTTATGAATGAGTATGCTGGCATATACACTTTGACTTCCTGGCCTACAGAACTCTGAGTTAAATAAACTCTACTCTTTACAAATTGCCCAGTCTGTGGGATTCAGTGACAGGAACAGAAAATAATCAGGACATTTGTATATAATAAAGAGATTGACTTCTGGTGACAGTAGGGTTTGAACTTAGAGGCTTGTACTTGCTTGGCAGGCATTCTACCACCTAAGCCACACTGTCAGTCCAGGAGATTGACTTTTGTATATTAATCTTATACCTTCAACTCATAAACAATGAATTTACATAAATATCATGTAAATACATAGTTACATTCTACATTTACAATGAATCTAAGCACACTTTCACCACTTCATAGGTTATGAATTTATTTTGTCAGTTGTGGGGCCTGAACTCTGGGCTTGGGCACTGTCCCTTAGCTCTTCAGCTCAAGGCTAGTGCTCTACCACTTGAGCCACAGCACCACTTCTAGCTTTTTCTGCTTATGTGGTGCTGAGGAATTGAACCCAGGGCCTCATACATGCAAGGCAAGCACTCTTAACACGGAGCCACCTTCCTGGCCCAGGTTATGTATTTTATAGTGAAAGAATCCTAATTCCTCGCCCTCTTCGTTTTGTATAAATGTACACACATACATAATTGAATCATTATTGATATAACTTTGAGCAAACCATTATCTATTCCATAATTCGTACATAGCCTTTTATTGGTTGTCAGTTTAGCATTAGGCTCACACAGAGCTTCCCTATCTGCCCTGGACCCTGTCCTTCCCTCTCTTGGGAGTTCCTGGCTCACCCCAGGCTCCAAGAGTGTCCTGGACAGGGCTATCTAGCAGAGGCAGGGAACATATGCAGAAGGGGGACCCAAAAGAGGTGGTGAGGTGTGAGAGAAGGTGGGGTATGAGGCCATTCAGATAAGAATGTCCATCCAGCTGAGGGAGGTTGTTACCCTGCACAACCCTTAGATCTTGCCAGGTTGAGAGAAGTCAGGAGGGAAGAGCATCTCTTAGATGCTCCCACTGTGCCCTTCATGCCATCAGCATCTTCTGGATGTTGTCCTGCTCCCTTTACACTGTGCTCCAGAGAGGACTTTTTCTGTTTAGTTCTTTAACTTTTTTCTACTATTTTCTGTTTCTTTAACAGCTGGTTGTGAATGATTGGATTGAAGAATAAACATTCTTCCTATGCCTTCATACATTGTAGTTTCATCTACCAAAGTTATAATCTCTGTATCTATAGTAAGATGTTCTGTTTAGCTGTTCAATCTATACATATGTCAAGCTTTACCTTCTGTTGAGTGTCAATAGCTCTGTGATGGCCTTCTTCAATTGCAGATCCTTGGGGGCTGCCATCTTGATGCACTCTAGTCCTTCTCCTTTATGGGAACCCAACTTTCTGACCTAGATCATTTTCATTTCTTTAAAAAAAAAACTTAGAGGCTGGGAAGGTGGCTCAGTGGTAGAGCGTTTGCATTGCATGCCTGAGGCCCTGGGTTCGATTCCTCAGCACCACATAAGCAAAAAAGAAAAAAGCCAGAAGTGGCGCTTGACTCAAGTGGTAGGGTGCTAGGCTTAAGCTGAAGAGCTGAGGGACAGCGCCCAGGCCCAGAGTTAAGGCCCCATAACTGGACCCCCCAAAAAAACAAAAAAAACTTAGAGCTAAGTGCTGGTTGCTCACGCCTGTAATCCTAACTACTCAGGAGGCTGAGATCTGAGGATCGCAGGTCAAAGTCAGCCAGGCAGGAAAGTCCTTGAGACTCATATCTGCAATTAACTACCAGAAAACTGGAAGTGGAGCTGTGGCTCAAGTGGTAGAGCATTTGCCTTGAGCTGAACAGCTGAAGGACAACACCCAGGCCCAGAGTTCAAACCTCACAACTTGGGGGTGGAGGGAACAAAACTTAGACTATTCCTTGCAAGATAGGTCTACTGGCAACAGATTTACTCACTGTTTGGTTGCTAAGTCTTTATTTCTTCTTTACTTTCAAAAGAAAATTTGGCAGGATACAGAAAAATTGTAGGTTGGTGGTTTTAAATATTTCACTCCATTTTCTTCTTTTGCCTGGCCTCTGAAGAGAAGTTGTTTTAATCCTTTGTTCTTCTGAAGGTAACGTTGGTTTTTCCTCTGGTTTCTTTCAGGTCTTTTGTCTTTATCATTGATTTCTTTCATTTGAAAATATATCTAGGGATAATTGTTGTTGCTGACATTTATCTTGCTTGAGATCCTGTTGACATTTGTCTTGCTTGCTTTCTGAATCTGTAGTGTGGAATCTGATACTAACTTGGGAAAAATTCTCACTCATAATTGCTCCAAAAATTCTGTTCTTTTCTCTTTTTCTTCTCCTTTTACCTTTTTCACTATGTATATGTTATGCTTTTATTGGTCATCCCACATACAGTCTTTGGATTCTGTATTTCTTAGCCTCTGCTGTTTTTTTTTTTTAAATCACTTTAAACTTTTAGAAATTTATATAGAGATAGCTTCTAGTTAAAAGATTATTATGTGGATAGCCACATTGGATGGTTTGAGCAGACATAAAAAATTAACAGTATTTTTTTCCCCACCACAGGCCTTTCCCCTGGTTTGATCTGACCACTGTACAACTCAGGGAAACGCCTTTTAGCCAGCATCTCTCAAATAGTCCAGCTCTCCAGGACCACCTTCACTATGTATACTGCGAAGTATTCGATGTCTCTGTAACCAAACAAAAGCCAGAGGGTACCACACACTCTCCATCCCATCAAGGCACCTCAAGATCATGATCTTATTCTCCTCAGATGGGCTGGGCAGGACTTACACCCTATAACAGATAAAGGGCTAAGTCATGTAGCTACAGTGTATTTGAAAACTGTACTAATTAATGGCTCTTTGAAGTGTAAAATAAAGCAAGAGGTCCTAAATATCAACATACTTGGGTGTGTCCAGCTTGCCTAAATAACCACACAACTTAATATATTATTTCCCTAGAGCAGCCATGTAAACAAATTACTTCTCTTCTCATCTCTATTTCTCTAAAAGCTAGATTAAATAATTGATAACACCACTGTTAATTATACTTGCATCTCCTTTTCCATAGTGTTAAATAATTATACTTGCATCTCCTTTTCCATAGTAATATGTACTTAAAACACAATACTACTTGATTTCCCTACCATTTTGGATAGAAAGGTAATTGTTGACTAAACAATGTCAATTGAATTATTTCATTCTTACTTCAGTTATATTTGACTGTTCTTATGCTATCTCATCTTATTTAAAATTCTCTATCTTTCCCCATTTTTGGTAGTTCTGGGTTTTGAGCACAGGGCCTTGTAGCTTGCTTGTGCTCTACAATTTGAACAATTCCTCTAGCCATTTTGTTTTATTTTTCAGATAGGGTGTCAGACATTTTTCCCAGAGCCTTCATACTGATTCTCCTACCTCTGCCTTCCTATAGCTGGGACTATAGGTAGATGCCACCCCTCCCTGTAGATTGCTGGTTGAGATGGCTGCTTTAGCCTCAAATTGCAATCCCCCCCCCCCCCCCGCCCCAGTCCTGCCTCCTTAGTAAAAGTTCTTCCCATGAAAACCACTTAAAAAATATTTGGAGCTAAGTATGATAGTACATGCTTTTAATCCCTGTATGCAGGAGACTAAGGCAGCATGATCACCAGTTCAAGTCTATTTTGGGCTATACAGTAAAGCCCTGTCACAAATCTCTCTCTCTCTCTCTCTCTCTCTGTCTCTCTGTCTCTGTTTGTCTGTCTGTCTCTCTCCTCTGTCTCTCTGTCTCTGTCTCTCTCTGTCTCTCTCTCTCTCTCACACACACACACACACACACACACACCAGACCAGTCAGGTGCCAGTGGCTCACACCTATAATCCTAGCTACTCAGGAAACTGAGATTTGAGGATTGCAATTCAAAGCCAGCCTGGGCAGGAAAGTCTACGAGACTTCTTTTTTTTTTTTTTTTTTATCTTCAATTAACTACAAAAAGAGCCCAAAGTAGAGCTATAGCGCAAGTGGTAGAGTATTGACTTGAGCAAAAAAAAGCTAATAGACAGTGCCCGGGCCCTGAGTCCAAGCCCTAGTACTCACACACGTATACACACCAAACAGAACAAAACCACCTGGCATTTAAATGACATGTTTTTTGGTAAAATATAGATCTTATTTCTATAATGCAAATGTCTATTTCCTTTATGTTTTATAAATACTTTTGTCAATTTACAATAGAGTTGAAAAGAATAGCAGTAATCTCATGAAACTAAGAAAGATGTCACTGTGCTTTGGTTACTGAACAAAATCACTGCTTTTTTTTCCCCATGCCAGCCTGGGGCTTGAACTCAGAGCCTCAAGATTAGTTGGCTTGCTCACAACTGGTACTCCACCATTTGAGTCACATTTACAATCTGACATTTTACTGATTATTTTGGAATGGAGTCTTGCAGACTTTTCTGTCCAGGCTGGCTTTGAATCATAACACTCCAAATCTCAGCCTCCTGAGTAGCTAGGATTATAAGTAGGAGCCACCATTACCTGGGTACTCAAATGTTTTTGAGGAAACCATTCAGTAAACTTGGAAATCACCATGGTTTTATTATTTTGCATAATCATGAGGCAAGCAAAACCAGTGGTACAGTGCTAGAGTAGTTTCTGATAAATATTTGGCCAATTGGGGAAAATAGATTTATCATCAAATATTAACATATGGCATACATGTTCATTTGTTCCTTCTCTCAACAACAACAAACAACACTAAGAAACATTTCTTTTACAGTGCATTCAGGTATAGGGAATAGACAAGGTAACCATTAGCCTTCAGATTACATTAGTAATATAGTGTGATTTTTTTTTTTTTTTTTAGGATTAAGAAATGAGTCCAGGAACTAAAGAGCAGAAAATGTGAATGAAGATAGAGGGGAGCTAGAGCCCTTCAAACAAGTGTTTACTAATTCCTTTTAAGAAATACAATCATGAATATACTGTAGCCTGAATTCCACTTTGAATTCCACTGTTTTCTCTGATGGCTAAAGGGGAACAGAATTTCCCTTGAAACCTTTCCTTTGAACAACAGAATTGCAAATCCTTTGTTTGCTTTGAATCTATAAATCTTAAAAAACAAAAAAAAAGCCAACTAAGCTTCTTGCCAGTTTTACATCCCTGACAGACAGTCCTTGGGGACTTGCAGCCATCATTGAGAATTAACACTAAGGTGGATGGTACCCTTTCTCCCTATCCATAGCTGGGTACCTCAGGGACCAGCTCCAAGAGGTAATTTCCTGTCTGTAATCAAGATAGAAGTTTTGTTTTCCCTCTAGATAAAGATAGTTAACTTCTATGTAATGACTTTTATATGCCTGGCTATTTTAAAGAATGTGATTTGCCTTTGCAATCTCTTTAGTAGCAGAATAGTGACATGGATCAGTTAGTGCTCCTTCAATAACATCTTCTTTTCTGTATTTGTGGAAAGGATTATCTGACTAATAAGAGATCTTATTCTACTTACTTATTTCTAGAAGATCTCATTACATAGCCCAGGCTGGCCTGGAACTCCCAATCTTCCTGTCTAAGCCTTCTGAGTGTTGAGATTTCTACATGTGTACCACAATACCCAGATGAGAATTTATGCCTAATTGTATTTCTCCAGTGTGCTCCCACTACTAAGTATTTTAACAGGAATGAAAGACAAATATTGCTGCCTTTAACAAAGGAGCTGCCTTGGAACACAAAAGGAAGATGCTGTGAGTCAGGAAAGAACTGGGAATGGAGCCAGCAATTCTAACTCTGATCCTCAATGAAAGGGGGCGAAAGAAAAAAACAAAAGCAGAAAAGATCACACCTCTTTCCTTAAGTAATTCACAGTTTGATCATTCAAGATAAGTGAGATGGCCTTCCTCAGTGGTTCATGAAGGAAAAAAAAAAACCAAAAAACACACTTCTTCCCCCAAATAAGTCAGTTTGGTTTTTCCAGCTAAGTGAGATGACTTTCTCTGTGGCTCATTTCACTTTTTCTCTTCGGGACCAGTCGTTTTTGGATCACAGTCCTGTAATCCTGCTGCTTTGACAAATTCAGTAAAGGTCAAGGAATCAGACTTTACCCCAGTATGACTTTTTTGTTCTAAAAACAAGCCAATATTATCCCTATAGGGAAGTCTGATGCTACGGCAGAACAATGGCTCTTCAATTCTCAGTAGCTCTCGTACATGATGAGAAATTAGCTGAAACGCAAGGGTAATTTTTTTTTTTAGTAAAACTAACTTGAAAATATAACTAAATCTAAGTTTTATTTTGTTGTCTATTCCTGTCATCAGTGTTATTTCCATAAGTCAGATTGTGTGTGTGACTTAAATTAATTCAATGGAAAAATCGAACATTGAAGCTTCCTAGACTGGCCTTATCAAAACCAAGTTCTTTGAAGAGAAATGTCACATGACTTACTATCTTTTTTAAAGCACTAAAGATGTTTAAATGCCCCTTGCATCAGTTGGCCCCAAGTGAATTAATTTTTCTCTTTTTAATGAAAAACATGCTACCTAGTATAAAAGCAAGGTAATATGTTCATTTGGGCCTGGTAGCCTATACTTGGATTCCCAGCTAATCAGGAGGCTGGAGGCAAGGAGGATCCCTTGAGCCCAGGAGATGGAAGCCAGCCTGGGAAAAATAGTGAGATCCTATCTCTGAAAAAAAAAAGTAGATAACATGTTTACATTAGGACCTTGAGTATTTCTGGGAAAGATTAATAAATAACTTGTCTAAAAAGAGGCTCAGCTTTAATTTGCAACTGAGAAAGATATTTCTTAAATTTTTCAAAACATATCACAAGCACTAAAAAGCAGATAGTAAGGTTTCAGCTGTTTTATTAGTATCTATACTTATTTATTCTGTTTTTAGGTTTAACAGTACTGGAGTTTAAACTTAGGGCCTCATGCTTGTAGCCAAATGTACTACACCACTTGAGCCTCGTACCCAGCCCTTTTTACACTGGTTATTTTCTAAGATAGAATCTCACTTTATTCCAGGAACAGTCTGGACTGTAATCATCCTATTTGTGCTGCTGGGGTGACAGAAACTTTTATGTCTGGCTGGTCTCTAACTGAGATTCCCCTGATTTCCACCTCCCAAGTAGCTAGGCTTACAGCCTTGGGCCACCACCTTGGATATGTTCAGTTTCTATTTTCAATCTCTAAACATAATTTGTATTCACTGAGTACAATGTCAACTTGTTATCCTATAGTCAGCTCTGATTGCCTTTTCAAATTCTAGATTTAATCCTAGTAGTTAATAAAAAATGGTATTTGAATTCCTATTCTGCATCTGGGTAAGAATAGAGTCAATGAAATTGCTGTTAAAACACTGCCAAATGGGTATGTAAAATGGATTTTTTAAACAAAGCTACTGGTGATACAAGACTAAAAGACATGGGACAGGAAATTCTAAGTCTGGTATTGCAATGCATTTTAGATGAAATTTTACTTGAAACCTACATTGTTTAGATTCTAAAGACAGTTTGTGAGTAAAAGTTGACACAGTTGCCTGGCATTCCCAGTGAGAATGTTAGTTGTTCTGTAGCTATGAGATTTCCAAGATAAAATCCAAATTACTGTAGGTGCCTCTTAAGAGTTCTCACCACATGATGCTACTACACTGACTACCTTCAGCTATGTGTATAAGATATATATCAAACAAAAATGAATTTCATGTTTAGATTTGATTCTATTTCCAAGACATCTTATTACATATATGCAAATATCCCCAAATTAAGAAAAGATCTGAAACAATTCTGATCTCAAGCATTCTGGATTAGAGATACTTAATCTCTACTAACCAAAACACTGGGCTGAGAAAGTCCTGTTCGCTTTAGCAGAATATTATAATGCAGACATTGAAAATGTTATAAAGTATGGAGGGCTGGGAATGTGGCTTAGTGGTAGAGTGCTTGCTTAGCATGCATGTGATTCCTCAATACCATATAAACAGAAAAAGCCAGAAGTGGTGCTGTGGCTTAAGTGGTAGAGCGCTAGTCTTTGAGCACAAAGAAGCTCACAGACAGTGCCCAAGCCCTGAGTTCAAGCCCCAGGATTGGCAAAAAAAAAAAAAAAACCACCAAGAAGCTAGAAGTGTGGCTCAAGTAGTGGAATGCCAGCATTGCAGCACTGAGTGAGAAAGCTAAGTGAAGAGTGTTAGGCTCTGGGTTCAAGATCCAGTACTGATATAACTTAAATATCCTCCCTCTAATTCAGTCATTCTCCCCGCCCACCCCCAGTAATGAGGAGTGAACTCAGGGAATTCTATTTGCTAGACAGGCACTTTATCACTTGAGTCAGGTCTCTAGTAGTCTTTTCCTTTCTTTCTCTCCTCCCCTCCACTCCTCCCCTCCGGTCCCTTTTTGCATTGGTTATTTGGTGCCCAGCTAGCTTAGACTGTGACCATTTTACTTATGTTTCTCATATTGCAGAGGTGTGCCTGCTGCACCCAGTTATTGTGCTTCCCCTGTAGCTGGAATAACAAGTATGTGCTACTGGTTGCCGTTGGTTGAGATGGAGTCTGGGGAACTGCTTTTTGTCTGAGCTGGCCTCAAACTGTGATCTCCCAGTCTCTACCTCCCAAGTAGCTAGAATTATAGGAGCCACTATGCCCAATTTTCAGTGATTCTTTTTTTGGGGGAAGGGAGAGTAAGGGGGTCCTGAGCTTTTTTTGCTCAAGACTAGCACTCTACTACTTGAACCACAGTTTTACTTCCTGTGTTTTGGTGGTAAATTGGAGTTGTGGCAGGAGGATATATGGACTTTCCTGCCTGGGCTGGTTTCGACCAGGATCCGCAGAGATCAGCCTCCTGAGGAGCTAGACTCCTGAGTAGCTAGGCTTACAGTCCTGGTAATTCTTTAAGCATGTCTGAGATTCACCATTGGATCATGAGAGTCCCCTATGTACCATATATTGATCTAAAACTACAAGTTGTTTAGTTTTTTTTTTTATGAACCAACAAGCAATTGACTTTTTGTCTAACATCTAAAGCAACTTATTAGGAACTTACCTGAGATAATAAGGATTATGAGAAATTGTTATTTGTGAGGATTACTAGATTTTTTCTAAGGACTCTAACTTCTACATTCTAGGATAGTGGCAAATACTGAAGGCTTGGCATCACTTCAGAACACTTTTTTCACAGGACCTCAAACAGATACTGTAATGCCTATAGTTTCCAAGAACTTGTGTTGGGGTCTCATAAACGTTTTGGCCAGGCTGGCTTCAAACCACAATTTTTTATCTCTACCTCCCAAGAAGCTAGGATTACAGGCATGGGCTACAGGGCCCTGGCTATCACAAAGATCTTTTGTGATGTAATGGGCAGTAGATATTTTGAGTATTAACTTCCTTTCCTTCCCTTCCTTTTCCTTCCCTTCTTCTTTCTTCCTTCCATTTGTTTTGTGGTACTAAGGATTGAACCCAGGGCCTCATATATGCTGAGCAAACAGTCTACCATCAAGCTGCACCCTTGGCTCTTTTATTTTGAGATACGGTCTTACTGAGTTGTCCAGACTGGCTTCAAACTTAACATTCCTTCTGCTTCAGCTGTCTGAGTAGCTGGGATTGCAGGTACATACCATCATACTAGACATAGAGAATTACTTTCTAAATAGAAATCAGAAGCAACTGTTGTGCTATTGTGGTACTTTAAAATAAGATGGATTTACTTACTGAATGGGGTAGAACGTGCCTGTAATTTCACCTACTCAAGAGGTAAAAATCAGGAAGATCACAGTTTGAGGCCAGACGGGGTAAAATGTTTGCAAGACTCAACCAATAAGGCAGGTATTGGTGGCACGCTCCTGTTATTGCTATGCAGGAGGTATAGTAAAGGATCATGTCCCAGGAAAAAGTGAAAAACCATATCTGAAAACTATGGCAAAAAGAACCGGTATTATCACTCAAGTGTTAGAGTAATTTCAGCAAGCACAAGGTCAGGGTGTTAAAGAGGAAAGGTTACAAATGAGATTATATATGCGATGAGTTATAAATTTTAAAATGCTACAAATGGAGAGAACTTTTAAGCAAAGGAAATTTATCATAGACTTTGTGCTAGAAAGATGAGCCACAAAGAGTTTAATGTGTCCCAGAACTAGAGGGAAAAAGATTTATACAGAAGAGTGGTAGGGTAGGTAGTGGTAGGTAGGTGACTGGAGAAAAGCTTCAGAGGGCCTTCAAGCATAAACTAGTTGGGACTAAATTGTAAGCAGAGGGAATACAAAGATGGTTTCTGGGGCTGGGCTCTCTAGCTCAAGTCTGTAAGAGAAGTAGAGATCAGGAAGAATCATAGTTCCAGGCTAGTCTGGGTAAAATGTTAAGAGATATCCCATCTCAACCAATAAGCTGAGTGTGGTGGTACATAGCTGTGGTCCCAGATATGAGAGAGGATATAGGTATTGACTTCTCTCCCCAGGTTAGCCCCAAACAAAAACTCAAGACCCTATCTAAAAAGCAACCAGAAAGTAAAAATGGGGAGAGGTGTGGCCCAAATGACAAGACCCAGACCCTGAGTTCTAACCCTTATAATACTAACCCTTATTCAGAAAGTTTCTGAATAGTAGTTGGCAAGTAAGAGCCTAAAAGCAGACCTCTTGAATCTAAAATGCCCACAGAGAGAGGTTAAAGCAGGAAGCTACTGCTATATTCTAGGACTGAGGCAATAAAGGTCTGAAGAGTGGAAATGGAGTAAACCTGAGGGTTTAATTGCCATCAGAATAATGATAGTTATTGATTCAAAGGAGAGGGAAGAAGCAACTACCCTGAGCATGGGGGATTGAGGTAAAATGTCACAACAGACAGAAAAAGGATTGGAAGAGGAGGAGGTTGTGCTGAGACAATGGTAGCACTGTTACAGAACGCTATAGGGAAACTTTGTATATAACTCACCTTCATGTCCTCAAAATCTGTTATCCCTATTTGAGGGAGATTTGAGCAGTTTACATGAATGAGTTTTCGGCCACTGATGAAGTTTGTAGTAAAACACTCCTGTCCAAAAAATAAAAACACCACCTTAAAGTGTGCTGCAATTGGAAGGAAAAGGAGAAAGGAAGGGAAAGGAGAGAAAGAAGCAAGGAAAGTAATCATACTTATCTCTAGTCCTATATTGAGAAAATTTATTTTGTATTGTAACACTTTTTTTTTTGTCAGTTATGGAGCTTGAACTCTGGGCCTGGGCGCTGTCCCTCAGCTTTTCAGCTCAAGACTAGCACTCTACCACTTGAACCCACAGCACCATTTCCAGTTTTTGGAGTGGTTTATTGGAGATAGTGTCTCACAGCCTTTCCTGCCAGGGCTGGCTTTGAATACCATTCTCAGATCTCATCCTCCTGAGTAGCTAGGATTACAGGCGTGAGCCACTGGCGGCTGGCTTTAATAACACATTTTCTATCTAAGCTCTTTGGGCACTGTCCCACAGCTCACTAGAGCCACAGTGCCCCTTCAGCTTTTTATGCTTATGTGGTCTGAGGAATGGAACCCAGGGCCTCATGCATGCAAGGCAAGCGCTCTACCACTGAGCCACCTTCCCAGCACTCATCTAAGCTCTTGATTCAATTTCATACTGCTGCTTCAAGGTTTTTTCTTTTTTTTTTTTTTTTCTTTTTTTCCCCTCCAACAACTAATGCTTCTTCTTGTCTCAATTATATTTTTAAGTGCAAATGGTTTAAGATCTTGGGTTATTTTGTAGTCATAGTTGGCATTGGTAAATTAAGAAATTTACAGTTGGGCACTGGTGGCTCACACCTTGTGAGCCCAGTAATCCTAGCTATTCAGGAGGCTGTGATCTGAGGATTGCAATTTGACGTCAGTTCAGGCAGGAAATTCCATGAGACTCTTATCTCCAATTAACCACCAGAAAACCAGAAGTGGAGCTGTGGCTCAAGTTGTAAAGAGCTAGCCTTGAGTGGAAATGCTAAAGGAGCTCAGTGCCAGTGGCTCATGCCTGTAATCTTAGCTACTCAGATGAGTAGCTTACATGCCAACCCAGGCATGTAAGTCCATGAGACTCTTATCTCCAATGAACCATCAGAAAACCAGAAGTGGAGCAGTGGCTCAAAGTGGTAGATCCTTGAGCAAAAGAGCTCAGGAACAGTATCCAGTCTTAGTTCAAGTCCCACTTAGTTCAAGTCCCACTTAGTTCAAGTCCCATGACCCACTCCCATCCAAAGCTAAGAGACACTACCCAGACCCCGAGTTTAAGCCCTAGTACTAGCATAGAACAAAACAAGTGCTCACCTTGAGCTAAAGAGTTCAGGGACAGAAGCTAGTCCCAGAGTTCAAGCCCCACAACGGACAAAAAAAAGTTTACACTGTTTTTTGGTAAAATACATTTGGGTTAATTGGCTAAACTTATGTATTTGGTAGAAATTTATAGTAGAAGTCAGGTAAGGAATTTGCAATTAAAGCAACTTGCAACTTGACATCTTTCTACAGAAAATATATTTTGAAATGTATTCTTTTTTTCTGGTCCTGAGGCTTGAAAGCAGAGCCTGGGTGCTGTCCCTGATCCCCTTTGTGCTCAAGGCTATTGTTCTACCACTTTGAGCCACAGTGCCACTTCTGGTTTTCTGATGGTTATTTCAGTGTCTCATGGACTTTCTTACCCAGGCTGGCTTTGAACTGCCATCCTCAGATCTCGGTCTCCTGAGTAGCTAGGGTTAAACCCACTGGCATCTGGCTTGAAATGGAAATTTTTATAAGAAAGGGTTTATAAAAATGTCTTGGTCTTTATTCATAGACTGTAGAGAAATGGAACCACAAGGATGGGTAGGGAAACAAATATGACCTTCTCTCTCTCCCCAAACAGAAATATATACATCAGCTACAGACTGGTTGTGCTAGATACAGTGACAAAGTATATGCTTATCATATGCAAAACCCCAGGCTCCATCTCTAGCATATTCCCCCTTCCCCTACACCGCAGTGACTTTCCTTCTAGTCCAGCATTTTTCTTTTCTTTTTTCTTGGTCGTGGGGCTTGAACTCTGGGCTTGGGTGCTGTTCCTGTGCTCTTCAGCTCAAGGTGAGTGCTCTACTCTTTGAGCCACAGTGCCACTTCCGGTTTTCTATTGGAAATAAGAGTCTCACAGACTTTCCTGCCCGGGCTGGCTTTGAACCGTGATCCTCAGATCTCAGCCTCCTGAGTAGCTAAGATTACAGGCATGAGCCACTGGTGCCAGGCTAGTCCAGGAGTTTTCTATATACTCTTTTTTTTTTTTGTCAGTCCTGGGGCTTGAACTCAGGGCCTACATACTGCTCTGACCTTCTTTTGCTCAAGGCTAGCACTCTACTGCTTGAGCCACAGCGCCATTCTGGGCTTTTAACATTTATATGGTACTGAGAAATCGAACCCAGGGCTTCATGCATGCTAAGCAAGCACTCTACCACTAAGCCACATCCACAGCCTGTATATATTCTTAATGAAGAGGAGGTAAAAACACAGGTCAAGTTAGAGAGCATGTAATTTAAAAAAAAAATGTTATTTTTGTGTACCTTGTATTGAGGGAAGCCTAAATAGCTAATCCAATCTGCAACTTTCTCTGGGCTCCATGTCAGATATTCAAAGTCTTTTATATACTGGAATTGGTACCGTTTATTAAACAGTTCCGCCAATTCTTGAGATGGATCAAATTCTGAACTAGAGGATGTTCCCTCATCCTGAGACATTGAGCGTAAGTGAAAGTATTCTGTACTGATAAAAGAAAGTAGTTTTTGGAGTTCTGGAGATGAGACTGAATCATCCATACTCACTAATTCAACTTCACTATCTCTAGCTGTGTCAGTTTCTTTTTTGGACAACTTTCTTGTTTGATACTCAGGGTGTGCACGCTCATCGTTGTCCACAGAACCATCAGATTTGATTTGCTTTGAACTGATTTCCTCGGAAGATTCTGCATGTTTCTCCCTAGTTTTGTCTTTACCTGATAACTTGAGATTTTTCTCTACTTCTATTTCCCCTTTTACTTCTAGTTTGGGCGACTGTGGTGGAATTTGATCTGTTTTATCAGGTGATTTCCCTGAATCCTCTTCTGGAAACTCTGATTTAGTCTGCTCTGGCAGTTCTTCACCTTTCTCCTCTGTTGATTCTTTTAGTGTTTCAGACTTCTCTAGTGTTGCCTGTTCTGTCTCCTCACTTGATTTCCTCTGCTTCTGTTTTTGATCTATTGGTTTGGTGTCCTCTAATGACTTTCTCTGCCCCTTCTCTGGTTCCATCTCTTGTGGTACTGTTACACCAGCCTCTTCTGGTGGACCTGTAACTTTTTCCTTATATGACTTTCTTCTTGTCTCCTTTGGAATTTCTGATGGCTCTGGACTTGTTTTGTCAATTGATTTTCTTGATTTTTCACCAGAAAACTCTGGTTTGCTCTCTTCCAGTGACTCTGGAACTTCCTCCTTAGTCGAGTCTCCTGGTTTTTCATCTGGAACCCTTGCCTTAATCTCTTCTAGAGACCCTGGATCTGCTTCTTCGGTAGATTTTCTTGGTCTCTGATCTGAAAACTCTGGTTTGCTCTGCTCTGATAGCTCCATACTTTTCTTTTCAATTGAGTCTTTTCGTGTGTCTTCTGTAATTTCCTTTTCAGTCATCTTTCCTGGCTGTACTTTCTCTTCGACTGATTTCTCACTTGGTGTGATCACTGGTGTGATCTGGCCTGAAGGCTCTAGACCTATGTCTTCATATTGTTCCTCAAATAGTTTCTCTGGAACCTCTTGTTCAGTCTCTTCTGGTATTTCCAATCTTGACTCGCCGATAGGAGCTTCTGGACCTATTATTTCTGTAGCTGACTCTGTGAGTTCATAGTATGTAAGAGCTTGGTTAACCTCCGCCAGTGGATCTATGTAGGTCTCATACATTTCATTCTCATATGTTTCATCATTCTCATACCTTGGATTCTCATACCTTTCATCGTAACCCAGTCTGGACGTCTCTGATTTCAACCCTTGGGAGCTCCCTGGTTTAGTTGGGCTGGACAGGTCTCTCTTGCTGTGAGGGTCTTCCTGGGCTGTCCCGGTTGGCTCCTGCGGTACGTCCTCCTCCCCAGCCTCGGCTGACTCTGGCTCTTGCCCAATCTCTGAGGATGGCTGTGGGCCTGCCCTTCCCGCAACGTCAATCTCGACAACCTCGTACGTTCCACTAAGCCTCGGACGTTTAAATCTCTCAAAAAGCGTGTATTCATCTTCGTCAAGGCTGAAATCATAATCCTCGGGGTCTGCTGACATCGTGCAGCTCCGCCGGCGGACGCGCCCTGGCCGCCTAGCAACCGCGACTTCCGACAGCGTCTCTATGGACACCGCGGCTTCCGGCGGCGGCTTCCGGACTCGGCCCCAGTTGAGATGGGTTCTTCCAAGCCCGGGCTTTTAGAGAAAAATTAGCGACCCGACCGCGCCGCCAGCCTCCGCTTGTCCGGCCGGCCCGGGGCCTCACGCTCTTCCCGCGGCTGCTTCGCCGTTGCTGCGGGACTTGGGTTCGGCTCCATTCGGTTGGGCTCGGCCGGGGTTCGCCTGGGCTCGGCTCCGTTCGCCTGGCCTCGGCGGGGCTCGGCCGAGGTTCTCCTGGGCTCGGCTCCGGTCGGCGAGGCGAGGCTCACCGCCTCGGCGTTCGCTCGGCCTTCGGCTGTTTCCGGAGGCGCTCGAAGCCCGCGGCGACGAGGCTCTGGGCGCGGGCTGCAGATGTCGGACCGGCAGGCGGCTGAGGGGCCGGGCTTCTGGAGCCCCGCAGTCCGCCGAGGGTCGGCGGGAGACCTCGGGGACCGCCCGCGAGTGAAGGGGAGCCAGACGGTCGCCTCAGGTAGGCCAGGCCCGGGCGCTGGGGGGCGAGCGCCGCCGGCCTCAGGCCCCGCGCCGCGCCGCGCCGCGAGCCCCGCCGCCTCGCTCTGCCTGGGTCCCCGCGGCGGGGCCGCCCCGCCTCGGCTCCCGCCGCTGCCGCCGCGCGGGCCCCCGGGGCCCCCGCGGTCCTCGTCTCCCCCATTCAGCCACGTCTCGGTTCCTGTCCCGCTTCCTTTCCTGAGTTGAGCCGCAGTGGTTGGGGACGGGGTCGCTTCCCCTTTCCGCTCCCCGCCGTCTGGTCAGCCCCAGTCGGGGTTCACATCCCACCTGCATCCGCCCGCCCCACCTACGGCTGCAGACCTACTCCCCCCCCCCCCCCCCCCAGCTTCAGGCTCCTCGTCGACCTCGCCCCCGGCCTCCCTGGCCTTCCTCCTCCGGCCCCCATCCCGGCCGGCAGGTCGCCTCGGTGTCAGGGCGGGAGGGCGGAGGAGCCGAGGCAAACGGAGATCTTCGGCACGAGCGTGAACAGCCTAAGCAAAGGCAGGAACTAGATGTCGGCAACCTCCCCCTTTCTCCAAGACAGCGTCTCCATTTCCACCCACACAAGTTTGTTTCCGCGGGGATCACTTGAGTGTCCCACGATGAAAGGGACTGCCGTCCTACCGTTTCTTCCTGGGCATCACCGGGGATGCACAAAAGGATGCTCTCTGAAATACAAAAGGGCAGAAGGCTGCGGGACTGGTTTCACTAAGTACTTAGCAAATGATTTTCCAGGTATGAAATAGGACGCGAAAAGGGCAGTGGTTTGGGTCCTACTGAGGCGCTAAAGCATCTGGATCCTCCACTGTAGACGACTGTGAGACCCAGGGCAAGTTACTTCATCTCCTGCTCTGAGTTTCCTCTTCTATTAGATGTGGGTACTAATAACACCTGCTTGGTAGGGGTAGTGGGACTGAGTGGGCCCTGTGTCTAAGCATTTGGTGTAAAGCGTACCGTACCACTATTCTCAACCAACTAAATTCCCCGTGCTGCCAGAGAAGGTGTTCCTTGGATATATATACCCCTTCCTGGGTATCCCTTCTATTTGAATCTCAAACAGCTCTCATCTTACAATGTTTACTTGTTCAGGCTTTCTCTCTCTCCCCCGCCTCTCTCACACACACACTCCATCACCTATCTGTGAATCTTTCCCATGACTTTATGTTCTTATTTTAAACACCTTACAAATTTTGAGCTTTTCATACTTATTATAAATTAAAAATTTATGGCATGGTTGATTATGGCATTCGAAATGATAAGCATGAATCAGGATGTAGCTCAGTGACAGAGTATTTACCTAGCATAAATGAGGCCTTGAGTTTGATCCCCAGCATTATAAGCAACAACAAAACAAGAGAAAAGAAAAAAAAGAAATTCTAAGCTAAGCATAGTTTCTAAAAGATTAAGGAAATAAGTACCTGTCCTCTGTGGATATTAGTTTATAAATTAAGTGTATTCTTTTTTTTTTGGGTCTGGTCGTGGGGCCTGACCTCTGGGCTGGGTGCTGTCCCTCAGCTCTTCAGCTCAAGGCTAGCGCTCTACCACTTGAGCCACAGTGCCACTTCCGGCTTTTTTCTTATGTGGTGCTGAGGAATCGAACCCAGGGCCCCTGGCATGCAAGGTAAGCGCTTTACCACTGAGCCACCTTCCCAGCCCCAAATTCAGTGCATTCTAACCTCTTCTTTAAGTCCTTGTGTTTATGACAAACACAAAAGCCTTTCAAATAAAGTATAAATGTGATAAATATGATAAATATCAAATCTATTATCTTTAAATATATTTTTGGAGTACTCATAAGACCTTTCTATTTAAAATGCTTGTTACACTAGAGTATGGCCCAGTGTAGCATGCATGAAGACCTGGGTTCAAGTCCTAGCATTATATACATGCAAAACAAAAGGAGGATAAAAGCTGACTTCTATTTATATAGGAATTTGTTATTGCTCTTTTTGAAATGATAAGTTTACATGTATTGACTACTCTGCGTGTCAATGTAGAAAAAGAATCATTTGTTTATCTGATTCAATCCTGTCAACAATCATTTTCTTTACCATGAAAATGGTTTATGTGTTATTAGAAGGGTGATGTACAAAAGGGGTACAGTTACATAAGTCAGATAAAGAGTACATTCTCTTTGGACAATGTCACCCCTTCCCAAAAGAACAAAATACACCCAAGAAAAGGTAATGACCAAGTTAGCTCTGGAGTTTTACTGTCTATAGGAAATTGGCACCTTATTATGATGAAATAACTGTCCTTTTTATTGTCTGTGACTCCAGGACAAGTTTTAGTCTTTATTCTCAAGGTGTTTTCAGTTTGATGAAATGAGGATTCCATAGCAAAACAAAAATATTTCAAAATGTTTTGCAATTGTTTTTTTAAAATTATAGTTCTTTATGTACTTTCCCCCTAAGAAGCCTCTTGAAGGAGAAATAGAATCCTTCTTGCCTATTTTTTCTTCTACAATCCTTGATGTTTTATCTTCAAGGTTCTGTAAATATTGGCTGATTTAAATGATCAAAGAGAGTCTCAATGCAAAATTTTGTATGTGTATTCAGTGAATGTGGGAAATTAGGGCTGAGATAACCAAGGCTAATCCTTGGATTAGAATTGTGGATACTATCTGGAAGCACATCTGTCAATGTCTGGAAGCAGTCTTGTTTGTCATAGCCAGGGGCAGCTCTTACTGACATATAGTAATTGTAGGCCAGGGATGTTGCTAAGCATCCTGTAGTAATTGGACTATCTCGGCAATGAAGGTTTGGTTCCTAATATTAGAAAAACACTTGGTGGAAGTTAAGCTGGATTTCTAAGGCAGTGTGGAAATACTGCCAGAGTTTTATAGACTTGAGAGTAAGCATTACAAATTGTTAAAATTAGGAGTTTGGACCTTTCTGTCACTTTTCACCAGAAAATATTTCAGTAAATAAGTAGTAGAGAAACTAAGAAGAATTGAAACTGAAAAATGTTTCTATTGCCCTCTCATAAAACAACGTAAAATAAAAGATTGGATATTTACTTGTTATTGAATTCAGGGCTTGGAAATTTCAATGCACCTTATTCCTTCAAAGCAGGGATTTGTCAGTATCCAAAAGAACCATAACTGTTTTTTTTTTTGTTGTTGGTTATGGGCTTAACCCAGAGCCTAGGTGCTGTCCCTGGCTTTTCTACTCAAGGTTAGTGCTCTGCCACTTTGAGCAACAGTGCCACTTCCGGTTTTCTGGTAGTTATTTGGAAATTAGAGTCTCACAGACTTCCCTGCCTAGGCTGGCTTTGAACCTCAATCCTCAGATCTCAGCCTCCTGAATAGCCAGGGTTATAGATGTGAGCCATTGGCTCCTGGCCCATAACTGGTTTTAAAAGAGGGCCTTCATGTTTGTTAGCTAAAATTTGGTAAAGGGAGAAAAAGGCTTATAAATTAAGCTCCTCAGTGGTCATGATGTCCTTACTGTTTTAAGAACTGTGAATTATTTATTTTGTGATACTAGGGTGTGAACTTGGAGCCTGTGCTTGCTAAGCAGCCACTTTTATATATTTGCCATTCTGCCAGCCCCTTTTTGCTTTATTTCAGAATAGGGTCTCACTTTAATTTCTGGTTCGGCTTGGACTGTGGTCCTTCTATTTATGGTTCCCTTTACCACTGGGATGACAATTGCAGGCCACCATGCCCAGCCATTTATTGAGAATGGGGGTCTGTGATTTTTTTTCCTGGTTCTAGGATTGAACTCAGGACCTGGGCACTGTTCCCAAGCTTCTTTGTGCTCAAGGCTAGCACTCTATAACCACAGCACCACTTCCAGCTTTTTTCTGAGTGGTTTATTGGAGATAAGAGTCTCACAGACTTTTCTGCCCAGGCTGGCTTCGAACCATGATCCTCAGATCTCAGTCTCCTGAGTAGCTAGGATTATAGGCATGAGCCACCAGCACCCGGGTTGGGGTCTGTGAATTTTTATGCCCAGGGTGTGCGTGCGTGCATGCGTGTGTGTGCCTGCACATATGCACACACACCTGCTTGCCTTTGTGCCTGTACTGGGACTTGAACTCAAGGCCTGGGCGCTGTCTCTCAGCATTTTATTTAAGTCTGGTATGTTCTACCACTCAGGCTGACACCAGTTCCATTCTGGCTTTGAACCAGACTTTGAACTGGCTTCTCTGCCTCCCAAGTAACTAGGATATTACAGGATTGAGCTACCATGATCAGCTGTAATTGTGTGTGTGTGTGTGTGTGTGTGTGTGTGTGTTTAATAGTTTCTTACTTGGGACATCTGGGTTCTTTAGTTCCCCAGAGAAGAGAAGCCATCTTTTATTGAAATTCTCTGAGGCATACATTTATTGCATCACTTAAGTACAGGAAAATTATTTCTTAGGTCTTTTGAGCTTTGGGGAAAATGAAGGGCAAAGTTTGTTATGACCTAAAGTTAGGAAGAACTTAGTTTGGTGTACATACTTCCAGTAGCTATCATTTAGATGTGTAGGACTGAAATGGGGCATATATACTTGTTTATATTCCTTTTTTTGTTGGTGGTGGTGGTCGTGGAGCTTGAACTGGGCACTGTCTGGTGTTATTAGGGTTTGAACTCGGCTTCATGCTTACTAGACAGCCATTATACTGCCAGAACCACACTCCAGCCCGATTTCTTGATGTTCTGTTACAATTCTATTTCAAAACATTAAAATTTTATCTTACTATGGCTATTATTTTAATAGTATTTTGTACAGTGCTTTTTATATAATGTTAATGTAGTCATGTCATAATGCAGTCCATACAGTACAAGGTGTGTAATCTGACTGACAGCTCAGGAGCATGTCCACTTCTTTCTTTCTTTTTTTTTTTTTGGGGGGGGGGGGTCCGGTCGTGGAGCCTGAACTCTGGGCCTGGGCACTGTCCTCAGCTCTTCAGCTCAAGGCTAGAGCTCTATCCCTTGAGCCATAGCACCACTTCCGGCTTTTTTCTTTTTGCTTATGTGGTGCTGAGGAATCGAA